ATAATCTCCAAAAATGATTACAAATCAAGGCCAGCGCCAAGCCACCTTTGCTACATACATGTACATGACTGTACAGTCATGTACATGTACATGCACCCAATGACTATGTAACTCCTTGTTTACACAGACTACACACCCTATGCCACTGCAGAGACTTCTATGTGTGTGTGTTTGTTGTGAAAGTGGCACGAACACTAGGACTCCGGAGGTCTATTAGTATTATTATGATCTACACGACGACAGACTAGACTACTGTCAGTCTACACTACAGGCTACAGCACTTGCCCGTAAGTTACCAGTACGGTGGTAGGTCCATGTTAAAGGGGAAGTGCATCGATTTTTCAAGTAGGGCTCAGATTAAAGACAATTGGATATCGGTTCCGATGGTATATCTCTCGCTTGCGTACGGCAAGGGAAACTTGCCATATCGCCGATTTCCTGATCCCGTTTCCATGGCGACTACAGGTGATGACGCACATTCTGCTTAGCTCCGTGACAGAGAAGGTCGATCAGTGAAGAATGGTGTCATTTTCAGTTGTCTTCTTGTATTCACGAAGTGAAAGAAGTACTGTGTTCAAGGCTGTTAGTGCCGTGAACTGTTTATTAGTAGTCCTCTCCGTTGTGTACTGGGACGTGACACCGACAGAGGAAAGCTGGAGTGCGGAGACGTTAGCTGGCAAGCGAAAATCGTGACGAACCAAGTGCTGAAATCTTGGTTGGGACAAATCAAACGTTCAGCATTTACCTCAACCAAGGACCATGCCGTTTGCTCTTTCCACTTCCTGAAGATGGATGCGCTGCCTGCTGGAGACTCTCCTATCTCTCGTAACATCTTCTGAAGCCAGGTGAGACGACGAGTAGCGGAGATTAGCGAACGAAATAATGTCGTATGTTTTGAAATTTTTGCTGAACATTTCTCAGGAGAGATGGCGAATACCAAGCATCTTCTCCAAGTCTAGAGAAACCATTTCGTAGGCTACATTCCGCCTAGGGAAATGCAGGAGATGGCCTGGCTGGGGAGGACACCCTTGGAGGAGAACGAAGTAAGTGATCATGTTTGTTGTTCTTTGGTATTGCAATCTTATGTTTGACGAACATACGGCATGGTGCATAGTTGGTCGTTGAGTGCCTGCATGTGCATGTATAAGTGTGTGCTGATAAACACTTCCTATGCAAGAATCTGACACTCATGCTCTCTTTATTTCTTGCAGTATGTGCGCACGTGTGTGTGTGTGTGTGTGTGTGTATGTGTGTGTGTGTGTGTGTGTGTGTGTGAGAGAGAGAGAGAGAGAGAGAGAGAGAGAGTGTGTGCAGGAGCAGCGTGGAGCATGCCAGTGTGATCGCTGTGGCCGTTGCTTTCTTGCTCGTCACAAGTGTGTGGCTCAGCCCCCAACGACAGTGGAGCCGTGTTGTGCTGAATACTGTGTGTCCTGCGACCGCTGCTTCCGTTCGGTCCAGGGCAGGAATAGACACCGCTGCTGAAGCTCTCCCCGGCCGTACGTCAGTCTCGTGGCAGATAACCAGAACTCTCATTTTGTGTGTGTGTGTGTGGTGTATGTTTATGTATGTGTGTTGCTCCCTACGTAGACAAACTCTTGTTTTTGTGTCCCGGGCGCCATGGGGCGGCGTTCTCCCATTCTCTCTCCACTGCCCCTCCGGGCCCACGTGGCAGTGACTCGACAGGGCAAGTGTGTGCATGGTGCATTTTGTGTGCTGGCATGTCTGTATAAATATGTTGGACAGAATTTGTTCACCCACAACGTTCACGGAAAACCATGCTAGGTGTTGCTGGAACGTATGGAGTCTGCGAGCACTTACAATAACTTACGTCATGTCACAACAAAGAACGGTGCAGTGTTTGACCCTCATGTAAACATGATGGTGATGGTACCTCACGTAAGCTACCCATGAAGCTAGAAAGAACATCAGGTCAACAGAATTGTACCAGAGGAAAGCATCTATTGCCCGAACTTCTTCATTTGAAATGAACAATACCCTTCCCCATAGAGACAACATGCAGATGATGTGTATGGACAAATAATATATAAATAGGCCATTCACTGAGGGCATGGAATGACCTCTACGTGTAGATTGGATAGACACATGCACGTCTACAAGGAAAGCATTTGTTCATGGGTTAGTTCATGGGCTGATTGAGTTCACATGGACTAAGTTCATACATGCCATCTCTCCTGAGATATGTTCAGCAAAAATTTCAAAACATACGACATTATTTCGTTCGCTAATCTCCGCTACTCGTCGTCTCACCTGGCTTTAGAAGATGTTACGAGAGATAGGAGAGTCTCCAGCAGGCAGCGCATCCATCTTCAGGAAGTGGAAAGAGCAAACGGCATGGTCCTTGGTTGAGGTAAATGCTGAACGTTTGATTTGTCCCAACCAAGATTTCAGCACTTGGTTCGTCACGATTTTCGCTTGCCAGCTAACGTCTCCGCACTCCAGCTTTCCTCTGTCGGTGTCACGTCCCAGTACACAACGGAGAGGACTACTGATAAACAGTTCACGGCACTAACAGCCTTGAACACAGTACTTCTTTCACTTCGTGAATACAAGAAGACAACTGAAAATGACACAATTCTTCACTGATCGACCTTCTCTGTCACGGAGCTAAGCAGAATGTGCGTCATCACCTGTAGTCGCCATGGAAACGGGATCAGGAAATCGGCGATATGGCAAGTTTCCCTTGCCGTACGCAAGCGAGAGATATACCATCGGAACCGATATCCAATTGTCTTTCATCTGAGCCTTACTTGAAAAATCGATGCACTTCCCCTTTAAAGACACAGACTCAACGAGTCGGCATAGACGGTCGGTAGATCCTTACCTACCATGGCACATTCATGTACAATGACTAATACTAAGTAACGGTAGTTCTCTACATTCTGGACGTGATCGAGCATGACTTTACAAGGAACAGTCATTGACCACACATGACTGTGATCATGGTGATGGAGCTGGAGGAGGAGCAGACTCACTCAGCTCAGTCACCTCATCTCAGCTCAGCGCAGACATCCAGCAGGACAAAAAATAGAAGTCAAAAATCCTGGTTTGGTGTTGCAAACCGCAGGGAGTCATGTCGCCTCCATCCCGCGACTAGTACTCCCTGCTAGCGCTGGAATGCAGTGTATGCTGCAAACTTACTTTTTCACAGCATGCTACCTGTGCAATGACTGACTGTAGACTGACGTGTAGACCTACAGGCTACACTATTTTTGTAGTCTACATACTCAGTACACAGTCATGGTAGATCTACTGCTCAATGAAATCCAGTCCAGTTTCTCAAGTACATGTACGTAGATCTACGCGCCGGGCGTTGCGCAGCCCTGCGAGGCTGCGAACACCAGGCTGCGAAAGGTGCCCGGCGCCAACTACAGACTAGTCCTGACAACTGAAATCCGACCCCTTAGGCTTTTTAGCGATGCGTGCACATTCTAGCGGTCTCATTTTCGTAGTTTTACTTTCCCGTGTTGGGTCTTTGCGATGTGAGCGCACTTCTCAGTAGTCGGATTTCAGCTGCCAGCACTGTACATGTACAGTGTACATGTACTTGACTCGCGAGATCTCGCGACTGGATTTGCACCATTTCGATGCCCAGTGACAGTGTTCGCAGGTCTAGTCTACAGGACTAGGCCATGCTGGTAATACTAGTACAGTAGGTGTCACTTATAAGTTATATAGCGTGGGTGTTTGAAAAACGACTTTCTATTCTTATTTCCGATATTTCTTACACACGATAAATCAAGTGTGGCATATCATAATGGTGCGCAGGGGCAGGAAGATCATCGTACATGCAGCGCGGTACTTCTGAAGTTCTGTGCATGTGGCTGGTCATAGGCATAGGCTTACCATGTGGCTATGCAAAATGAGTTACATGACCACACCAGTTGAATCTGTAGCACTACGACGCAACGAGAGTTACATCAGAACGGAATTGGACAGATGTTATTACTACAGGCGATACACTTTGTGCTAATCTGGCATGTTTCGCTACACAAAGTCCATTCTTAGAACCGATATATTCTACTATGGGATAAAATTGCTTGTAAGAATAAATGTGCACTTGAAATCCATGTTATGATTAATTTTATAATATGAAAACATGAGAGTTCATTCTTGTAGGCAGTATAATTATTATTCTTTTACACGACCACACTATAACCGATACGCACTGTACTGTAGTACAGTCGTCCCTCTCTAATCCGGCACTTTATAATCCAGCACCCTCGATAAACCAGCACAATTTTCAGTAGCCAAAATGTCCTCTTCATGCACATTGCAGCAGTAAATCAGATTTGTTAATCCAGCACCCTCCCTAATCCAGCAGATTTTCGTGGCACAAATGGTGCCGGATTATAGAGGGACCACTGTAGTACTAGTAGTAGCCCATAATATTATTATATGGGCCATAATGGGCAGTAGGGCTGCACAACACCCGGCGCGTACACCATACCATGGTACACAGGGCCATAACTAATGTTACTTGGCATATAACTTTACTTATAAGGCGTTGACCATGGTTGAGTGCATTGACTGGATTTCATTGAGCAGCACGTGCTAGCACTGACACTACAGTCTGTGTTGCGCAGTGCTTTTTTGTACTGGACTAGACCATGCATGTAGCCATGGCATCTGTGTACGTCGTTGTAGACAGTGTAGAGCTGAACTAACGGCCGCGAGTACCGGATCCCACAACAAGCGCGCTAGTCCAGACTCGATCCAGTCCAGGGATTCGTATTGTACACATGTCAGATGTACCTCCGCTGGCTCCATGAATGCATGATCCACTCTTCAGTCCAGTGTCCAGTATGACCATGATGACTACTCTGTCACACTCATCAAGGCATCATCTCCGAACAGATCACAGCATGAGACTCCTGATCCAGTGCTAGTGCGGCAGTGCCATGCGGGTAGCATGCCAGTGCACTAGTGGTCACATTCCGTGCTTCGGTTGTTTTCATGTGTCCTTTTTTTACTGTGAGTCAACCATTCGCTTGCGCGGTGGATACAGGTAACGACTAACGTAAAGACTCGAGTGAAAGTGCCACTGACTGAGCGCTAGCGCTGCCAGAGTTAGTTGTAGTACATGCACAGCTACAACAAGTATCTTAGGTTAGGAGGTTTGAGAAAAGAAGCAGCAGCCGAGCGAAAGGGGTAGCGCCAGCGCTGTGCTTGCGCTTTGCATCATAGACTCCAGCGATCCAGGATCGATCACTTGTGACACGCCAGATATGGTACAGCAGTACGGATTGCTGAGTAAACCTACGAGTGTGTTTACGAAGTACCAGAACTGGAAGTAGTGGTAGTAGGAGTAGGCGTCGTTGGTCAGTCGCTGGTGATCATTGAGCAGCTCATCAAAGTCGTCTCTCTCTCTCGCCAAGGATCAGGCAGGACTGCAGCCTATCTGTCTTCCGGTCAGTTTGATCCAAGAGCGCTACCGGTCGACAACGCGCTAGAGCTATCTCTGCTCGTGGTGCGTAGCGGGCACCGCAGGTCCAGCTCGTCTTGCGCCTCTGTTCAGCGCCCTCATTCAAACATCGCTTGTGTTCTTGTGTAGTAGGCAATAGCGTATACTATTTACTTGGTAGCAGGTGAATAGCGTGCAGGGTTGCATTGGCTGTGAACGCTAGCGCCGCGCTAGGTTCTTGCCGGTATTCGATTTGGTGTCCATCGCTAGCACCAGTCATCATCACCTTTCCGCTGCGACAGCCTGCGTCTGTGTGGAGTGCGCATTGTGATACAAAAGACTGTGATCAGGCCGTGGATCTGCAGCAGAAACAATGAGTTTGCCGGATCACCACCACCCTGCTCAGGTCAGTCATAGCAAAAAGCCACTGGTTTCCTTTTCCCCGCCTTCTCGCCATTCACACACTGCTGGAGCAGCGCAGAGCTACGTGGAAAGTGGGAACGTGTCACCGTCAGCAGCGACAGCAACCATTGGTAGTAATAGCAGCAGAACGATTCCCAATGGCAAGCCTTCGCCATTGGAAGACCCATACAGCGTTGGCTCAACAACTGCTTCGCTTGATATGATGTCGTTAGGAGATGTAGCGTCAGCTACTGGTCGTCATAATGGTCCTGCAGTAGTAGCTGGACGAGACGCAGCCTGTCCGGTTGCTGCTGGCCAAACAGCCATTGCATCCGCACTGCCTGATACTCCCCCAGCTGGAGCTGCGGCGGCTGTTTGGCCATCTAGTGAAGGTGCTGCCTCTGCTGCTGCAGTTACTTCAGGACTTTCACGGACGTTGGATTCTCACTCGTCATCTGGCCGAGTCCTTGTGTCAGCAGGGGCAAAGAACGGTGCTGGCCCTGTTGTGCCAGCACCAATCAAGATAGATCCTCACTCCGTTGCAGCACACGTTTCAATGGCCGGTGATGATCCAGCCAAGGCCGCCGGGGTTGTCGCTGGTGCTGCGCACAACCTGGCTGAGTTGGTGATGGGCAAGACTCTCGGTGAGTTCTGTTGTGTGTCGCTTGGAACCTGTAGAATTACTCTGGCTGTGAAGCTCGTTACGTGTGCTGTGTGCTATGTTGCTTGTGTGTAGTTTGGTGCGCCTAGTTTATGGGCAAGCGGTCGTCAAATTCACTAACTCGAATACCGGAGATATGGGCCCAAAGTTGTTCAAAATATTCCATTGGATAATGTGTCAAGGATTTGTTTGCTTCTGAATTTGAACCACGTAGTGTTTTTGTTGAAGGACATAATCCATTATGCCCGAAGTGGAGTGGAGAGTGCCTCGGGTTCATCTCAGCCAATATCACGTTCTTGTCTGATTCCCGTGTCATTCGTTGCTCGATGTGTTAGTCGTTTCATTTCGGACTGAAAATAATTTGGTTAGGGTATCTAACATTCATGTTTTGTTGTCATGAAAGTATGTAGTTCATCCATTCTGTGTTTTGTATTTTGGTTCACAGGCACTGGAACATTCGGCCGGGTGCGTTTGGTCCGGGGAAAGCGGTCAGGAGACTTCTTTGCCCTGAAAATCATGACAATACAGGAGGTGGTGCGACTGAAGCAAATTGAACACGTCAAAAGCGAGAAGAACATCCTGCAGAAGATCAAGCACCCCTTTGTCGTCGATTTGTAAGTACCAGTACTGTATAAAAGGGAACCAGCTTGTGGAGCGTTGAATTTCGATAGGCTGTTTTGTGGGACGCCTCGGAATGGACCGTTGTGCATTGTTTATCTGTTCAGTGGCAAAATATGTTCCTTTGTTCTCGTGTAAAGATGTAACTGTTACTTTGTTGAGTATTCTTTGGCGAGTGGATTCAACCCACAATCGAGTCTAGTTGTTTTAGTGCCTGTCATTATGAATTGTGTGTTCCTTCTGTTCGTAAACATCACTCTTGGCTTGCATTGTGCGCGCCCAGCTAACCCCGGGCTCCGATACTATTACTAGTAGCTCCGAAAGGGGTTCAGACCCCCCATGCTCCCATTGACCTTTCCACCGTAAGATGCTGGCGATGTATTACGTGTTCTGCTCGTCCAAGAGAGCTGCTCGCTCTGTAAATCCAGACACTACCGATCAGCGTATCGCAGAGAACGAGTCGGTAGATTTTTTGCCACTGGGAGCTCTGTGATACTCAGTACAGAGCGTAACTACTGTTACTGGTCAGGACATCTCTCTCGCTGCCTCAAGCTCATTCTCCAGCGCAGTACGACCGTTGGTTCTGACCAGTAATATCGCCTCGTGCTTCGTCTTCTTTCTAGAGTCCTTTTTGACTACCAAACGTTTTTTGACGAAGCCGTAGCTACGTAGGTTGTTGATGTTCGTGCGTCATTGCGAAATTGTGCTGTGAAATGTTGCCTCGGAGTGAAACAAGCAGCGCGTACCCGAAAGGCATTGGGACTTCTCGGCGGAGCGTTCTGGAATTCGAACGCTGGATCGTCTAGGTTTGCTGGTGGCGCGCTGTCTCCTCGGGTTCATGCTTGTCGTCAGAGCCTTTCCTGCCACGCGAGAGCTGTCAGATTTCTTTTGGTCGCGCGGACTTGTTGTCGAGCGCAGATGGTGATTCACAGCACGTGAGACGGGAAACTCAGTTCTAGGCCATTGCCATTGCCGCATTGGCATGATGTTGCATCATGTCGGCGTTGGACGTCGACGTCGACGTGCCGACGACGTCTCCGTCATGCAGTGTTGGTCAATCCCTTGATCGAGCGATTCAGTGGTTGCGTGCGTGTGGGGAAACAAGTGACCAAACTGTTGGAATGTGGATCTCCAGGGAAGAGGACCGTCTCATTTCCATCCACACACGAACTGCACAGCTGTGTAAATGGGGCACACCCTGCGCGCCCTGAATATGAACTCGCCTGTCAATGTCCTCTGGACAACAGTGCAATTGTCACAATTCTGGCACAGATATACCCCTGGGCCTGTTGCCTTCCTGACTCTCTGTCGCACTTCTCAGTGTCTGTCTCCTACAAACTATGCAAGTCCCATGTGGCTTGACTGCTTGACTTCTTGGTGTTTTGACCTTGAAGTTGAAGTAAGTAATTGAAGCAATGCCAGTGATGTAAACGTATCTGCTACTCTCAATGATGTCACAGGGTCAAAAGACTCAAAACAACATAACACATACATACTAGTAGTCCTACATAAGTCATTTCATCATAGAACAGGTGTACAAGTGCACTGTTGCCAAGTGATGAGGAAGTGTCTTGTTTTGCATCAAAATATGTCTTCAGTATTGAAAGTAGTGTTGCACTCGTATTACAAAAAATGTGGGTTGGGAAATACTACAACTAGTAGAAGGTACCTAAGGACTATGAGATGACATGTACATACACTCATACCTCCCTTATCCGGGTAACTTTGAAATGTCCGTAACTCCGAATCGTATACGTTTTGATGGGGAAAGGCCGTAGATACCGGTATGGCATGTGATGTCGCTATTTCCACAAAGAGTGACACAATTTAAACTGTTAGCCTAGTACCGTAAAATACCGTTGATCCCCCCCCCCCCCCCCCTCTAATTCCCGCCCCCTGTCGAATTTCAGCCTGTGAAGCAACGTGGGCGTATACAACGAAATACGATGTTGAAGCGACCCATGTACTGCTGTACACAATACATGCGAGTGCAGGATGAAAATGTGCACAATCCAGCATTCCGGGTCTGATCTTCTGCTTTGTTGTACATCGTACTGAACTTGAACGAATTGATCTAATTCTCGCCCCCTGCCGAAAAACCAGCTGGGAAACGACACGGCATGGGGGCGGATCAACAGTACTTTACGGTAGAATGTGTAGTATACAGAGCTAGCTGTTTGATGATAGCAGAACAATGCTGTCTGCTTGCTGTCTGCTTTCGAGTTCAGTACTTAGTTGGCATCCAAACGGTGGCAACGCTGTCCACTACAATCCCGGTTTGGTTGATAACTGGCTTGAATCAACCACGTTTGTACTGGCCTTAATGCGACATGCGATCCACATGTTGCTGGTGTTGTTGCTGCCATTGTCGTAATCCTTGTCAGCTGCAGTTTGTTGCTCACCATTGGTATTCCTATCACCATTGCAGTATATTTGTATTACAATACGATTCATAGTGTCTACCATACTTGATCATCTTGGAGGGAAGCTCGTGCATGTGCATGTACATATAGAAGTTGTGTGTACGTAGTTCAATGCAGCAGGAGTAATGGAAGTAATGCCTTGATTTTCACTACAAGTAATACAACTTTCCCTTCGGATCCTCCCGCCCATCTTGGCACACACACACACACACACACACACACACACACACACACACACAAACATATTTGGCGCCCACGCACGGAGGTACAGTCAACTTGGCTAATAACGACTGCGGACATGACGACAATTCGCGAATAACGACAGAATGTCCATGCCCAGGGCAAAGTCCCATCCAACTGTAGCACGTATAAAGAGACTTCGGGTATAACGACACTTCGCGAATAACGACACTTTTCTGATGCCCCGCCGAGTGTCGCAAAGTTGACTGTATAGATGCATACAGTGATAGGTATCCTTGCCGTGTCAATATTTGAGCCCCAGCCAGCAGAAACCTGAACATGTGTAATTTTTTCAAAAATTATTTTTTCGCTCGAAATCGATTCTACACTATTAATCATTCAAGTTATCAAGTTTGGTGACAATCTGATGAGCGAAAGCATGGAAAATAGAGTTTGAAGCCACACAGGTCAAGATTCAGTACAGTTGGTGCAGCATCCATGCCTAGTGACTCCATGCAAGTTGATCCTACAGTTTCTGATTGTGATGTGGAACAGGTACATGTAAGTAAATAGAATGCAAGTCAGGCTTGCCCTCTTGGTGCTACAGGCATGAGTAGTTCAGAAGTGTGACGATATTCCATATACATCACTACCTTATTTACAACACCGGAGTGCAAAACGATGATTGGTGGCTGGCCTTCCAAATTGTGTTCAGGGACCTCTGTGCTGGCAGTTTGAGCGTTGTCCCAAAGCTTGCCATACTGATAAATGTACTGACCAATACCACTGACATCCACTCCCTTGCACACTTTCACTCAGACCATGATTTCAGCATAATTGTATTTCAATGATATGAGCGAATACTCGCGTTTTGTAGCACGTGAAGATGTTGCCCCAAAGCGTTCAGCCGGTTTGACATTTTAGGGATCCCCTTTCTCAGCACAGGCAGCAGCCAGCTTGGCGTCGTCTGGCAAGGTAGAGTACTGATAATACTACGCTCTGTTTTGCGCCGTGAAAAGCCCTCCATCAGTGTCTGCAACATCATTGTTGTCGATGTAGAAATACGGATCGCTCAGCGGGTCGACATTCAGCTTCTCCTCGCAGTCGCCATTACTCCCGCACTGAATATCGTCGCCACCAGTATCCAGTGTCGATTTTATGAGGGCTCTTCGTTGCTATGTACATGAGACTCGCCACTGCTGGACAAACTCAGCGAGATCGCCACCAAAGAAATAATTCCGATCGCGAACTAACTTTCAGCGCCGCTTCGTACAGGGAGTCTCACGCTGACAACTCTGGACCTAAGTTTTTGTCGCGACACCTGTCGCCATCGCTGTGTCTAAACTCAACCTCCATGTGACGAGCTCTTACCTAGCGCTAAAATCGATTGACCAGAGACATTTGAAGACACTTGAAACTCCTTTGACAACAAAGACACCCACTCGATCGAAAAAGAATCTTCAAAAGCCAGCTCACTGCGCGTCCCAAACTTTGACGTCACATTTTGATGATTGATATCAAGTACACAAGTGCTGGTTTTCGCTGGCCGGGGCTCATTTCTGTTATCAGGCCCTGTATTGTATTCTACTGTATTGTTGGCTGCGTATGGAATTCCCAACTATGGCCACACTGCGTGTGTGTGTGTGTGTGTGTGCGTGTGTGTGTGTGTGTGTGTGTGTGTGTGCTAGCAAGCTAGTGTGGACTGACGTTGAGCTTACATGTCTGTGTGTCCTTTGGCAAACAGGAAATGGACACACCATGACGCGAGGTTCCTGTATATGCTATTAGAGTTTGTCGTCGGTGGAGAGCTGTTCAGCTATCTGCGTGCCGTTGGCAGGTATGTGGGGAATTCCCCAAGGGAATATGTAAATCACTTTAAATCCTTCTTGTTCCATGATTGTAGACTGACACCATAGTGATAGCTATCCTGGCTTGTGCGGTTGTGCTATCTTCCTGGCATTCCACATGTTATCCTTTAGCAGCGAATAAAGTGACCAGAGCAGAGCAATGTTTACAGTGCACTACCAGCCCAGTGTTTGTAATGCTAGGACCTGTGGATCCAGGACTGGTGTCTTGCCATGACTGGTTTCTTGATCAGGTCATTTCCCACCAGTGTGAAGTTAGCTGACATTGTCCTCATCATCCTCGTGGACTATTTTTGCATTTTCTTATGGCCGCCTTACTGGATGCCCATGATGAACATCTCTGGTCGGAATGCTACAATGACATGCTGTTGTCCTGTCTCCACAATGTCCAGATTCCACACGAAAGCAGCATCGTTCTACGCTGCAGAGATCGTGTCCGCCCTGGATCACCTACATAGTAACTCCATTATCTACCGAGATCTGAAACCGGAAAATCTTCTCATCGACGGACAGGGCCACATCAAGATTACGGATTTTGGCTTTGCCAAGGAGCTCTCCCAGGAGTGAGTAAAGACGAGGTTGCTGCTTCTGATTCTGTGTCTTCTGTGTCTGATGCAGTTGTTTTAGAGGGGGTGCATGTGGCATCATGCATGTCGTTCTGTGTCGTTTTCAGTCTTCTCTAACTGTTACTACAGTCGACCTACCCTTATAACGATAATCTCTATAACGATATTACCCTTAGAACTAGTGCTGAGTCGGGTAGCATCTTCTTCGGGTATCGGGTTCGGGTAGCTTTCGACGGGTAGCACGGGTACCCGATCGGGCAATGTTTCAATGGTAACGCCACAATGCACCCCTTACCTTACACACTGGGTAGACATGTGGAGTATTACATGAATTTGTACACATGCGCTGTACATGATATCTGCGACTTCGAGTTTTCGGGTAGTATTCTGTACCCGACTACCCGAGGTCCTCACGGGTAGCACGGGCCGACTACCCCTGCACACCCCTACTTAAACCGATATTGTTCTGCCAAACCGAATCACTCCATTGACTTGTGTGTACAATGCATTACCTCTATAACTAAATTGTTAAACGATATTACCCATTTCTCAATGGGTTGACGACATTTTCCATTTTATAACAATATCTAGCAGGGAATATGTAGAGCCCACTATCCAGGTAGGGCAAGTCACACAGTTCACTTGATAAGTTGCTGTGAAATGACAAAATGCAATGGGGCAGCAGTGGGCACCTTCCTGTGTACATAATGTGCATGTACGCCAGTTTTTTGCTATGAAGAGTGTAAAAAATGGACAAAATCCATACATTATGACGTATTTGTATGAAATGAACCAGGTACCCCTATAACAATATTACCCTGATAACAATATTTCTTGGAATGACGCGAATATCGTTATAAAGGTAGGTCGACTGTACAATCATGCAACGTTCAAGGTTGAAGTAACGTAAATAATTTCCTCTGGAAATGGTGATGATCGTGCACAAAGTGTTTATCTTGAACCTGTCAGACATCAGCAGGGTTGACGCATTTCTCATTAATGCCAAGCCGAGTTGGTCTGTCTCCCACCGCTTGGAGAGCGCTCTCCACGGAGAGATCTCCTCTGGAAATCACCGTTTTATCCCCCCACCTTCCCCCAAAGGGTAGACCCTCGAAAATACGGTTTGATGGCTGGGTTATGGCAAGAATGGCAGGCAGAGGCTTAGGATGTCAAACGAGTTTCTCAAGAGACTAATGAGAGTACACATGTTGTTGTTGTTGTTGTTGTTGTTGTTGTTGTTGTTGTTGTTGTTGTTGTTGTTGTTGTTGTTGTTGTTGTTGTTGTTGTTGTTGTTGTTGTTGTTGTTGTCGTCGTCGTCGTCGTTGTTGTTGTTGTTGTTGTTGTTGTTGTTGTTGTTGTTTTCCACTCAGTAACTATACATGGACATTGTGCGGCACACCAGAGTACTTGGCGCCGGAGATCATTCAGAATCGCGGTCACGGCAAGGCAGTTGACTGGTGGGCGCTGGGCATTCTCATCTACGAAATGCTTGTCGGGTGAGTTAGTTACCGATGCCGCCGGGCCGTTGAGCGTTGCCCGGTATGTGTCCCTGCATGTGTGTGAAGATGTGTACACTTACATGTTTTCCCCATGTTCCTGTGAGTCAGTTTAGTGTATGTATGTATGTATGTATGTATGTATGTATGTATGTATGTATATATGTATGTATGTATGTATATATGTATGTATGTACAAATATTACACAGCAATGAATCAAACAAGTCTCTTTCCGCTGTTACTCCGAGTTTCGTGTGAAAACACTTCATCAGACAGCATGTGTTTCACACGAAACTCGGAGTAACAGCGGAAAGAGACTTGTTTGATTCATTGCTGTGTAATATTTGTATTACTTGCTCTGTCCAGTGGGCATTGAGCACTGTAAGCAGCCTAGGGACTTTAGACAACTGTCTATGTATGTATGTATGTGTATGCGTGCTCAGTGTGTGTATGTGTATGTGCGTGTTCGTGTATGTGGGAATTGTGAGCGTGAATGGTAGGAGGGCGGGGGCCCAGAAAGGGTCACCTGTGTTTGTGCATGTGTATGCGTGTGTGCGTGTGTGTGTACGTGCGTGTGTGTATTGCATGTGTGTCGTTTCTAAGGAGTGATAATGGTCATAATAATTATGGTGCTGACTCTTCTGACGGATACACTGACCCTGGCACATTACCCGTACTTCTTGATGGCCAAGTTTATGGACAACTAGTACTTTGTGACGTGTCTATAGCTACTTCGCCGTACAATGGTAGCGGTTCTCGTCCACCTATGGGTATTCCTGGGTGTGATAATTATTTTGCTGATGTAATGGCTGTCTTCTCTGCTATCGTGTAGGTATCCGCCATTCTTTGATGATACGGCATTTGGCATATATGAGAAGATCTTGACCGGTGCCATCGACTACCCTCGCTTTCTGGAGAGTCCTAGCAGGTAAGATGTGCTGCTGCTGCCGCCACAGTGGACACCAATGCCTCTGCTGCTGACACTGCTGCTGCTGTATAGTGTAAGAGTGCACATGATATTATAACACCCAGAGGGGTGTATGGCTGTGCTGTATGGTCTAAAAGCTCTTTATCCATGGCTGATTTGCTTGGGAAAGCCAGACATAGGCTTCTCAGAATACTAGCTGTGGCCTTGTGCTATTGATCACACAGGATAGAGAGAGAGAGAGGGAACGGTAGAGAAATGTCCATGCCACTCCAGCTTTCACGTGCAATCCTCTCTGGCTAGGTTGGGAGCTCTGCCGTTGATATTGTGCACTTTTTCCAAGTACAAATAATCTACGTGGAGATAAAAGTTTAATAATAGCTATGAAAAGTATGAATGTTCCAAGTAATTAGTTTTTTGACCGTGGAGAATTTCACTTTTTTGTTTGAAACCGTAATAATCTGTTTCCTTTGTACTTTACACTAATGCTTCAATGCATACTTCTGGTGGCAGCAGAGGGGTAGGGGCACGAGGAGGGGAGCGGCTAATATGATGCCGCAACTCCTCTTTGTAGTTATTTTTTAAATAAGAAGTATAAGATGAAAAACTTTTTCATCATCATCAACAGGCTGTTGAGCTGATCGTTACTGGGCATGCATTCTGATGTCTTCGTGTCTGGTGTATTATCTTCTTAGGGAGATCATCAAAAAGCTGCTGCTTGGTGACAGAACGAAACGCTTGGGAAGCATGCGGGTGAGTTATCCGTGCGCTGGTGCTCTACACGTGGTCAGCGTAATGAAGTCCATGCATTAGATCCACTTCCTTCGGTCTCAATTTTGGTATAATCAGTACACTGTGGGTGGCTTGTGCAAAGGGCTCGAGACCTTGCCAAGGACAAGGCCATTGTAAATACAATAAAACTGGACAGCAGGAGAATACCTCACACTGGTGTATAGGTATTTGGTTTGCATGCCGTGTTCATCTCCCGTGAATAGTGTCCTTGCACTGGCATTGGCTGTCCCGATAACCATTCAATGTGCCAAGTGAAAATCTGGCATCTGGTATTCACAGTTCTCTACTGTACTATTTCTTGCTTTCAGGGTGGAACAGAAGATGTGAAGAAGCACCGCTTCTTCCGCGACTATGACTTCCAGAAACTCCGGGAGCAGAAATGCAAGGTAGGCATCGGTCCATTGATCTGTCAGGAATGCTTTGATACATGTCTTATTCAATCTACTCTCCAGCTGTGCCAGGCAGAAAGGTGCAGAACAAGGACAATTGATTGTATTATTTTACTTGTTTCCTGGAAACAGCACATTGTCTCTCCAATAGCCAGGTGTAGCAGGTGTCACATGATCTGGTCACATGATCTGGTCACATGATCTGGTCACATGATCTGGTCACATGATCTGGTCGTGGATGGTACGTGTACAAACAGTACAGTGGTATTGAGACTCGGAGAGGCGACGTGACTAGTACACATCTTGCTCGTAGGCCGGCCAGTATTGCTCTTTGCAACTCCCTACCTCGCTATTGTGCGGGTCTGCCTGGTGTTGTCCTGGAGCCATGGCAGGACGATGTACTGGGCAGTCGTAATGCCTGGGTGTGAGCAACGCTATGTGATGATTCAGATAATTATGTGTCAAGCAAATTCACATGAATTGCGCAAGTCATGATTCCTGTGTGTGCAGCCTGGAAGGGATTCGCCACCATTCTCATCAAGAGGGGTTGGACAATTCTGAATTCCATTTGATCCTGTACCCTTTCTCTACTTGCTTTGTCTGCCTGTGTGCTGCAGCCTCCGTTTGTGCCAACATTCCCAAGTTCAACCGCTAACTATGCAGCTAACTTTGATGACTATGAGGAGGAAGATCTGTCCAGGGTGCCACGCGTTGCGCCACACGACCTGGCATTCTTTTCTGACTTCTGATGTGGGTAGTGCTCAATTCACTGGAGATGTTCTGCTTGGATACCTAATGAAATCGCAACCAGAGCCTTCGCAATAGGCCATGTGTGTGAGCCCTTCGCGTTGGTTTCAACTGCAGTCAGTAGCTCACAGCCTGTCGTCACCTACGCGTTTCCAGTGTCCAACAGCTGAAGCAAACAACGTAAATCTGGAGTGCGACACCAAAGGACCGTTTTACCCATACGCTAACTGCACCAACAAACTTACACATGCTAACTACCGGTAATGAGAACGATAATATATGTAAAGTCATGGACGTTTACTAAGAGCTGATAATATTCTGGACAAAGTGCAAGGTGTGAAATTTTGCTCACATCGATAATCACACAGATGATGCTTTCATTTCTATGTACTTCATTCAACCTGGAAACGGTCCCTTCTCTATTTTTCACTTCATGTCTGCGTGCATCTGTGTGTCTTTTTTGATGAAGTATTTTAAAATAACCAATTGAATACTCCCCCTCTTTTTGACCCCTTGATGTTTTGCTTGCCATTCTTCAGATGTACTTACTATGTTTTGTTTCTCAGTTGAAAAAAAAGACATTTGGGATGGTGGTGTCCCAGAATAATGTTCGTTCCATGTGTCAAGTGTTCCCGATACTGATTATGGATCATTCTTGCCCAACGAAGTACAACACTCACTGCATGATGGTAATGATTATTACCTATCTGATATTTTGTTGTTGGGACAGCAGGCTGTCTTGGGTTAATAACACTTTTCAAAAAAGTTCTGAAAGGGGGGGGGGGGGAGTCTTCCAATCAAGGAATAGAGGGAAGAAGAAAAGGAATGAAAAGGCATCTTAAATAGCCATGGGCACTGAGAATTCTGTAACAGCTACTAGCTAGGTTAATGAATCAATGAGAAAATTGTTGCTCGGGAAATAGCAATAGAGTAATAAAATAAAGCAAATTAGTTGAATTGCACAACATCTCAACATTGTATTCAATTCTGTACTGGATTGGCCCATCACAATGCCGGTCAATGGGGGAACTAGGTTAGGAATAGTTCAGGCACAAACACATCTTGTTGCCCCATCCGGGCCTAGCCTTGGATTCTCTGTTAGCACTGTGTAACCGTATAATCCTGCATAAGAAAACGTTTTAAAAGATACTAGAATATTGCAGGATGTGCGTAGCCTATCTCAATACATTTTCAAGTTGCCGAGCTCAAAACAAAGGCAAGCTGAGAAAGGCATTTGGCAAGTACGGAAAACTGCATGAGCATTTGGCTTCCAAGAAGCACATACGCCTGCAGCTGATGCGGTGATAGTATTGTATACATACGCTTGCAGCTGATGCGGTGATAGTATTGTTGCTCCGTGCACTAAGTTCCTCCATGTCGTGCATACTAGTAGGTGTAAGTGCCAGCATGCACGCTACGCCATCTTTGACCGCAGGGCATCACGCGTCCGTGAGAGAATACCTGTGGACGACGAAGATGGCTTCGCCGGGTTTGGAGCTTGAAAGGAAGACGGCCATGTTACGGCAGAATCCTCTCGGTAGGTTGGCTCCTTCTGAAGCCTAAGCAAAACAAAACGCACCATCCAGACGTGCCAGAACAAAGCCATAGGTTAATACCGACACAACACTGTGACAAGGTTAGCACAATGTTAGACTACTTCAAGTGCACCAATTTATCTCCAGTGCACTAAATTATTTCCAGTGCACTAAATTATTTCCAGTGCACTAAATTATTTCCAGTGCGCCAAATCAATTCCAGTGCACCAAATTATTTCCAGCGCACCAAATTCGCAGGTATATGCGTAAGCGGGCCCCCGTTGGCGAGATGCTTTGCTAAAGTGGCTCTGGCGCTTGTAGACAAGCCCAGCCTGCACTATTACCACGGCCTCCGTGGAATTCAGTGTTGCATGCATGGTATTTATCATGTATGTTCTTCTTGCTCTGTATGTAGCTATTGGTTGAAAATATATGCACGGTCTCCAATATAAACGCAGTATCCAGTATAAGCACGGGGTGGAAGGGTGTTGCAAAATATAAGCACAACGCAGGGTACATGGAATTACAATGCTGTCTCCTCATACAAAAGTTGTACTTTTTCCGAAATTGCAGTGCTCGGTTTGTAATATGGCACAAATACAGTTTCAGAACAATCAGATCACGCCACACTAAGTTGACATTTCTTGGCCTGCCGAGCTAGTCCTCATTCAGTGACTGCATTCAACACCATCACCGCCTCCATAAGCATGTACCGTATTTCCCGGAGTATAAGCCACACTTTGAACACTCAAAATCCACCCAAGGGGGGGGGGGTGCGGCATATACTTTGATGATCAAAAGAACGGCAATACATCGAGTCGGTGTCTGTATTTTGTGCCAAAAAATGGGAGGGGGGGGGGGTATTTATACCCAGAAGATACGGTACACCGTGATGAATGACTCTTACTTTGAGTAGTGCCGGAAGAGTCGGTTGTACTCCTCACGGTCGGATACGCGACCATCACGTTCAGTCAGCTGCTCGACTAGCTCTTCTGACATCACTGAAAGGTGAATACAAAATAGCACAAGAAAAAGAAATGTGTGAGACTAAGGGGGAGGAAAAGGAGGTGGCAGAGGAGGAGGAGGAGGACATTGGGGCAAAACCATACAAATTTAGTCAGTTATAATTTTATGACACCTCTGACCAGTTTGAGTGTGTGTTTAAAAAACCTTGATATGAAATATGAATGGAAACTTGAGCTATAACTATCAACCTACTGGAGTACATACAGGTGTGCCTAACACATCAGAAGTAACCGTTGGAATGGCCACCAAAGAAGAAAAAGGCCGAGAACATCAGCAGGCTCAAGTTTCTAATGTTCTGGAATTCGACCTTCGCTGCTATGTTTGTGACATGACCAAGAACATTTTATTCATTGCTATTTTCCCGAACAGGGACCGTAATACAAAGCTTGTACGTGAAGTGTGTGGGTAACAGTGAGGGCTGCGTCCCACCCGCCTGTGTGAATTCACAGGAAGTGCGAGTTTAATACAAAGTCTGAAGGAAATGTTGAACGGCTTCCGCTGGGATGACGACTGCAGTCACTACACCATAGCCCAGTGGTTAGAGCATCGCTGGCTACAAGCGAGGGTCCCTGGTTTGAGTCCTGGTGGTGACAGTCAGTTTTTTTCTTCAGACTTTTCCCGTTTGAGTCTTTCCCTCAAACCAGTGAAGGGACCATACTACTATTCTTAGCACACTCTATTTCGGTAGTGTGTCATTTTTATACTCCGGAGTCACCTTTCTCGATCATTTTATTCAGTGACAACGAACTGTCAGTACCAATCTGCAATTGGGGTGGAATCAAATTTCATGCGGTGCCCTACAGCACAGAAAGTGCCGCAAATTAGGGCGTGCCAAAGAACAGCGGAAGCAGAGTTTAAACCTTAAAGCATGGTGTCTATGCCACAGTGGCCAGCCCGGAGTCCTGAAAACATTGAATTTTGGATCCACTTGGATTCAATGTTTGCATAGATCCATACAGGTGTAGGGCGGTATTTCTTCACAGTAGGGGAGTTATGAAAGGGCCTTCATGAATGCATTAGGATGACACATTCGCTGGTAGTAACTGGCATGGGGGCTCCCGGTCGCAGACCCGCTTCTGGTATAGAAAACATTCAGACGTGCATGCGACACGAGGGCCATACCCACTACAGCCTGTACTACGCTATGGGACAGAGTGGATCCAATATGACACATAAGTCGTTATTTGTTGACTCATAATGTAATACTTTGAAGGCCTAGGCTGTAAGAACACTAATGATCGCAGTCAAGACTTACTTCGAACTTCATTTTCGAATTCCTCGCGTAGACTCTGCAGATGCAGAACTGATAGTTGAGATAGCAATCGCACATCAAACACCTGATTGGCACGCTGTCGTCCACCAGATGCCTGGCTTCCAGGAGCAGCTATTGCTGAGTCCATCACGATATTGTCCGGTGAACTAGAGCGAGCAGCCAATGCCGCAACATCAGATGCACCGCCGTCCACTGACAGCCGACTATGAGGAGATCCACAAGATGCCATCTTGGCCGCGTGTGATTTCACTGCCAGCCGGTCTTGTTTTATGCTGTCGCTACGCTCGTCGTCCGTTCCTACCGGCGAGCCTGAAGATGCACCGTCCGCAGCGCCCCTACTCTCTCGTCCGCTGACTGGAAGATGCGGTGCCACATCGGATGCATCCTGACGTGCGGCGGTGAAGCATATCTGCATGCTGGGTGCCAGCAGTCTTGCCTTCTGAGCAGAGGACAGAACACTAGTGTGAGCACCGTCCACCTCCTCCTCCTCCTCCCCCTCCATCTCATCACCGGATGATGGTACTGTCCGGGTTATCTCTTCCAGGTGTTTCTCATGGGAAGCAAGCGTGCACAGCTGAGCAGCTACTGTAGCCATGTGGTAGGTGGGATCAACTGGTGACGCTTCGTCATCAGTGGCAAACGACTGCTCGAGACTAGCCTTGCTATCCACAGACGTCAGTCTTAGCTTCAACTGATCGGGCGTAGGGCTGCTAAACGGATTGGGCCTCTCTGCAGTGACCTCTTCTCTGCTGGAGCTTAGTAATCTGTGGTGTCTCCATGCTCGCTGGATCCTGGAAAAGACACAGAAATATTATGTCAAAACGAGCAAATAATTCTACGTCCGCCAAGCTAATATGCCAGTGTGCATAATCCTAATACTCTGCGCCGGGGACAAAGTTGTAGCTGCCACTGTGTGCTGGAAATAAGGCTAGTGCGAGTACTAGTCAACATTGGCTACCAGGGTTATCAATGTTGGAAGACTGCATGGTGCATGTTAGGGAGTACAAAGTGCATGGGTTGCCTGGAAGCACCTTCGCCAGAAGGACTGGCTGTGGGCCACAGACGGCAACTACGATCACCTAAGAACCATAACACTGTACAAACGCCTTACACCTTTAAAATTTGATTTTCAACTTTATGCTGCTATTTTACTACTACATTCCTCGCCCCCACCCCTTCCTGGTGCGTGCATCCAGTGCTGACGAGACCTCTGGTCGGACTAGCTGGACTTTCCTCACCTGCACCTTGCTTTTGAATGTGGTACCCCTTTTGTTTGTTTGTCCTAGTCTTCTGTCCCACTTTAATTGTTACCCCACATCACCAGTAGGATCGTGTGCTTTAAACTAAAAAAATGGGCATGTGTGGCATTGGCTGAGTGGTTCCCGCATTGGACTACATACCATTGGTAATACACAGAGTGGTACGTGTGCATGCATTGAGGTGTGTGCATCCACATAGACATGATCTGCAACAGCGGTGGGCCGGGCATGATCGTGTGTGCACCATGCCAACTGCATTTATGTTTCGCCTTGAGAGACACGCACATCGTGCTTTGCTCTGAGAGAGTAGGTTGTTCTAAGTGTTGTGCTGTGTTCCGCTTGTTCCTTGAGTTGGCCGGTGCCAAAAGACATGCAAGGATGTAGGCAGTAAGACAATTGCTGTCAATAGTCGGGATCATCTACTGGCAGCTCACTGCTTCCATCTTTCACCAGTGGTGTGTGAAAGGTGTTCTCCGTGGGCTCCCTATAGAAATAAGTTGAAGTAGAATCAGTTTGCTGGGATCTCCTTGTTAGGAAACAGCATCAGCAACGACAGTAGCGGCACTGCAGCTGACGCCGCCACAGCATCAGCAGCAGCAGCAATAACAACACACCGTAGCAAATATGGGTGACATACCTTAGTGCGGCAGCTGTGTGCAGATCAGGAGAGTCAGCGCCCCGCAGATCCACATCCTCGTAGTTTTGTCTGCAGTTGTCTGCACAGAGGTGTTGCTCTGCGGCTTCAGAGCCGACCAAGCTCATGTCTGCCCTGGACTCCAAGTCTACATGTGCTGTTGATGGATGCTGTGCTACTTGCAATTCCTTTGCTAGTGATACGGCTTCACTAGAACCACAGGACTCTGTTCTGCAGCTGAGCAACAGCACAAAGGCAAAGGAAGCGACAAGTGATGTTATACTGAATTTAGTATGGGGCTGCATAGTATAAGCTTCACTAGACTGGGAGTGCTTTATCCCTCAAACAAGGGAGCTCACCTCCAATGTTGCCCTGTACTAGTATCTAAACCCTTGGTAGCACCTTGATGTGATGCACTACACAGAGCACTGAGTAGTAGTGTGCTCACACACACTGATTGAAGATACCACACAATCAGTAGCTCGCTGACATCACTGCCACAGCCTGTTAGTATTAGGGCCAGCTTTGGTCATTAGAACTGTAGTTAAGATAAACTGCACATATGGTCGTGTTTGTGTTTCTTTTGTCCCCAGTCGAAACAGGTAACAGTATCACTGATACTGTGGCCACTTCAAGTCTGTGGGGTATCAAGGAGGAACACTACTATTGCATGCAGGTGGTCAATGTCTATGCTGGATCACTGGCCAAGGTTGTGCACAGGTGTGTGCATGCATGCAGCCGATCACCGCTCTGCAGTGGAGCAGGCTGCACGCAGATGGGTACCCTCTGAAGTCAGGTCGTTTTGAATACCCACCAAGTATTTAAACACATACACATACATTATGTACACAACAAGACTCCTAAGGTCTAACCCACACTGTTTTCAGTGCAGAAATCAATGGTGCTACTTTGAAGTTTGAAGTATAGACTGTACTGCACACATAACAGTGTCTCTCACAACTACTAATCTTATCTGAAGGATCAGTCAGGTGTTTATTAACAGTGATCTTCTGACCAGTTCAGAATCAATTCAAGTCAAGTCATTGCAACCAACCTGATAGGCAAATGTCCCAGTTCTTCTTCATGTTTCAGCTGATCTGCAGTGGCCTCCAGGCAACTTCTACAAGTGGCATCAGAAAGAACGAAACAATGGAACAAAATTTAATACACCTCAGATAAATGTCTCTGCCATGCGACTAACTTTATCTTTGATGACTGAATTAGAATTGAATTAGTTAGAACATCACATCGATTGGGGGGGGGGGGGGGGTGAAACATAGTATCTTCTCTTGGAATCATTTCACTGTGGTGTTAGTAGTATTCTCATCTTCACTATTGAGTTATCACGACTTCCACAAGGATATCTGCTGCACAGCGGCAGTGATCCCCATACAGATTCAGAGCAGTAGGCAGTACAACACACAACCAAGTAGGAGTGATTAGCATTAGCATTCCAAGAAGTCCCTCTATGTTTCTTGGGGTGTTGTATGTCACAGCATAGGAGGATTGACTTCAAGCACCATCAAGGTGATCCATTGTATACAGGAGAGAACCCAAGGAAAATTTGTCCCCACTTATGTTGGTACACAGGCAAACTCTAGACAGAACGTCCATGTCCATAATACATTGTAGTGCCAGCTGTACATGTGAAGCACCCTATTTCTCACAATGGTATTGTGTCAGGGTGCTTCACATGCTGCATCCAAGGGAATGGATCACCTCGCCATATTGCATTAGCTAAATGCCATGCATGGCATGCTCCCAAAATAAAGGACAAACACACTGCAACATTTCCATAGTGAATTCTTCGCATCTGCTTCGAAAGCCACACACTATTATTCTGATTCCAGAAGTGTGTATGTGTACGCATGTATTATGACTGTGTGTGTGTGGGGGGGGGGGGGGGGGGGGGCGATTGCTGTTGCCACAAATCTTATAATGCCTAACAGGCAGAGCTGGATGGCTTTTTCTCGAAACATTGATAGACTACAAGCTCATCCTAGCAAAGGTACTGCAAAGTTCATTCTAACAAAGGCGTGAGAACTGTGTTCCTTAGATAATCTTTAGGTTAAGACTCCCTGGCTCGTACTTACAGTGCGCACACCAGGTCCTCTTCGTCAAACGACTCACTGCTACTGGCTCTGTCGATAGGCTGTGGGGACGCCATCGATTATAGATGTCCTGCTTGGGATGACGATAGGTACTAGAGTCAAAGCTGTAGATTATAATTAAAAACAGAAGCATCAATTGATTTAGCCATTCGCTAGAGGTGACTTCCAAATACATGAGTGTCACCGGCTTGTCATCACTGTCTCATTGGCATTTTCACAACATGTTTTCTAAACACAGCCTAGTACTAGACATTGTCTACAACAGACTGAAAAGTGAAAACTGATAGCATTGAATTCGTTGACACCATGACACCACGCCAGTACTCAGTAGCCTACTAATTTACCACTACTGTCCAGGAGCCACAGGCATGGCAACAAATGCTATGAAGACACCACCATGTCATGCAGGGCTAGGTGACTGCAGCAACGCACTCAAGTCACTGAAGCCAAAAATGACCAAGGTAAAAGGGGACAGACTAACCCTGACCAGTACAATGTACCACCAGGGGTCAATCAATACACACTACTATGACGTGCAATTTTGGAGATAATGGAAGCAATGCAACGAAACAGCAGCATCTACTTAATCTGCTTCGAAGCATGTTAATACTGTAAGTTCTGGGGAAAAACCTAGAACAGATGATGGAGTTGATACCTCAAAAACAGATGCACCGAAGGCACATAGCACCTACTTGAGGGCATACCCCAGTTTACTCTGAGTAGGCTGCGTGCCTGGTAATCACTGGTACTTGGAACATCTGTGATTGTGGCCCGGAGAAATGTTCCAATATGACAATGTAAACCATTATACCTCTTATTGAACGCACTTCTGGCCCACTGCACCCCCATGTCAATGGGTCTGCATGTGCAACCAAGCCACCCGGTACCCAGTCTACCAACAAGCCCTTACAGGCCACACCTTTTCTGCAGTCTAAGCAATTGATGGGTCACTGTAAATTTATACCTATGGATAAGTATGATAAATATGACAATATCCATATCCATAGGTACAGAGGTACATAGGTCCAGTATCAATTTACAATAGTCATTGTAGATTACTTTCTCAAGCTGCGCAAGGTGACATGGTGCTGCAACTAATACTTAGAACAGGGAGGACCGACATTACTGCACAGTGCATGCACATGCACTACTGTTTAGTCTTACTAACATATCAGTATAACATACTGAAGTAGACATAATTGCAGAATACATGAACAATGTATCTACAAAAAAGAGAAGAGGCACATGTGAATGAGTTATGCAGCAACTATCCACGACTGTAACAAGATGATACGCGGTCAGAAAGTGCGATAATAGTTGCTGCATAAATCGTTCTCCTGTGCTTTCTTCTCTTTTTACATTTACTATTGGCTCAGTATCCGAGTTTTTAATGTATCTACAGTGGATACTTGACAGGACATACGAGTAGTATGACAATGGAGGCATTTACAGATGACTTAAACTCTAGATTCAATGGGATAGAAGACAATCTCATTCGACACTCCCTTGCAGTTTGCTGGGTGCTTGCATTGCCACGTGCCCATTATCGGAACTTCTTTCATCTGAACGTGTGGATCAGGAACTCTCTGGTGTGGATCAACTGAATCATTGGCTTTTGTAGAATACCAGTAGAATGTCTTACAATCCGCACCCTTCCCAATTGCCTTCGCACGTGCTAGGTGACACAATGCACATTTTCTGCACAAGGTTCTAGACTCGAATGCAATAGAATTGTTGTTGCTGCACGATCAGAAACCTTCGAAAGGCACGTCGGATAGTGCAAGGCTATGGAATAACAAGCATATAATCCAAATTGTTTACTTAGCAAAACGGAGCCGAGCTCCATTTGCTTTGTCCTTGATAGCTGACATCACAGTATTGAGTACTATTATTCTGTACCTATTAAAGATATGCCAGATAGGATCCTGTGTAAAAGTTTGAAAGTGTTTAGGGTGGTGCACCATTGACAAAAGCAGGGGCTGTCAGTTGGAGTACTAACAACATGCCCTCTAAACTGGATGCTAAGGCCTGTAGTAGGGGAAGTTTAGGTCTTCCTTTCAATGACTGTGAAGGAGGATGTGCAATGCCCAAAAAGAGCCGTTGAGGCTGATCAATGAACGCACAGTTAGTACTTCATTGTACTGCCTACAGTACAGGTGCCTCCCCTGCAATAGCATTATTCAAGACGTTTGAGGTTGAACACAAACTGTACCTTGTTACTGTACGTTTGGGTTCTTTTCTGTTTGCGTGCAGCACAATGCAAGTCGAATACAAACCTAACCAGCTGACCAGCCACTGCAACCCTATTATTAGTAACGGTCTAGACAAGTAGTAAAAGGAGTATACCGTTATCATGGTTATAAACAACATGGCGGATACCAGGGTAGACAGCTTGTGGAAGTAAGTAACTAACTAGTAGTTGTCAGGTGAACTACCAAACTGGTTTCAGGGACTCGAGCGTTATCACAATATCACAGCTAAGTAGAAGCTAAACGAACATGGAAACGCCACTCACTGTGTCCTTTGCTTACTTTCATCACAACGACACATTTTGTTATAGCACATTGTGCATTGGGCCGCATGATTGTTATGCCAAAGTTATTTCATGCCGCTATGTTACGAACTTTCACTAGCTGCACGCTGCTTTAGATTTAGAGTCCAATGCATGGCAAAAATAAATGACTAGGTATAGGCAGTCGGGGAAAGGTAGTACTAGTAGTAGTACAGTAGTACGAGTAGGGGTCGAGGGGAAGAAACACTTATGCTAGTCATATATGTACATGTGCACGGACAAATTTGGTCACGGTGCTCAAGTGTTTCCTCAAAGCTAGAAGATTCACCATACATCACGAGTGGCGAGGACACAACGACAACTAACTTACTACTTGACCGTATTCGCAGCAGTTACCTTTTCTTGGAAGCTTTCCCCTGTCTTCAAGCTTGGACGCTTCATACGGAGCTTGTCACGAAGTAAAAACCATTGGCATTGTCACAATTGCAGCTTCAGCTACAGTTCCAATGCTCCCACTTCCACGCCAGAAACAAAGACGACGCCGCGGTCATGCAGCTGAGCTAGAGCCAGTTGAGGCACCCAGAGCCTTTCCACTGCATGTAGATCTACACTAGCAACGACTCACTCGCTGCCACATAACAGCACTCGTACCTAGAAAGACTAGTCCCAGTTTCTAGCCAGCTTTGGGTTTTCACTCACGCCTATCCAACAGACGCTTGATTTTTGAGCTGTTGCCAGTGTTGGCGGTTGAGCTGAAAGTGTTAGCACCTCACCCCAAGTGCAGAGGGCACCTGACCTTGCACTTCGCACTTGCACCAACAGTGTTGATGTTTCTGGCCTTCAGTCACGGACCATCAGACGGTTTACCTGGTTTGCTCTCGATCATTTGGCAACAGAATTAGTACGGCACTTTACTGCAACGACTTACGTGTACTGCAGTGACAGTAGTTGTGCAGCTACTCAACCAAACCGGGCTGAACCTACCCAACTATCAACAATTTTTGCAGCTGCATTCACATCACCAGTCCACCCCAAAGAATACTACAACACACCGAGACCCAAAGCACCCGAGGTGAACAAAAGCAAACTAATGTAGTAACGATCGAACATCGAACATACTGACACTTGGGACCTTGTTGACGGGAATGCTTGGTCTCGGTTCTTACATACAGGGTCTAACAGTTCCTCCTTTCCTCTTTTCACCCGTACATCAGTACGGTCTTGTAGTTTCGACCACTTGCTAGCTCCTCTAGCACCGCACAATGACAGCGGTGAAGATGATGACTTGAGCGACAAACGATACACTCGGGCGCATACAGTTTAGCACTGGCTATGCCTCACACATACAAGCGTGCACGACCAACTACTACTACTAGTATAGTACTAGTACTAGTATTACGATGTTACTTCATCACCCATCGAAGGCCACGGCAGAAAGGGTTAGCATGGTTAGGCCGTAGCCGTAGGGGGAGTGTTGAGATGTTACCACGGATATGTCTGTCTGCAGTGCAGAGCGAAACTGACAGGCAAGGATCTGATAACCCACATGTGCACTGTGTCCGTACACTCGACCTCTCGCGCTCCATGGCATTTCACGTTTCGGTGCGAATATTTCGGACAGTAACGAGCACACTGCTACCGCAGATGCATGAGTCAAACTTCAAAGACCTCTTTCCGCAGACAACAATTCACGTAGATTTCACGTACTAGTACTATACTATTACTAGTACTACGTCAAGCCGCATAAACAGAGAGAAGAATAGTGCTATGTGAACAAGCGTCACACTTCTGCTTCAAGATCTCCAGAATAATATCTGGTGACAGTACTCACCTGGTTCGTAACGCTTGTTCACGCTGAACGATGCTAAACTGTAGTAGCCAAATAATTACTGGCCAGCTGATTGCTGAGATCTTGTTCAGCTTGTCTACTCCCCAGGCGCACAGACCGTTTGAGCACTTGCACTGCCTTAGTACCTAGGCTGGGCCAGGCACATCGGCTTTTTGGGAACGACGAAAGCCGTTGTTGGCCAGCTTCCGGACAGAGGAAGAAGCAGCCAAGCAATGTCAGACGAGGCAGAAGCGGGAAGTAAGTTTTGCACGACTAGCCTAGTAACAGTAGCTGAGCGATAATATTGCTAACATTTTAGTCCTGGCATGGCATGGGCCATGGGGCATGCACAACTACGAGGGGAATGCACTAGGCGTGCACCGTTTTCTGTTCGGGAGTGGGTTCGATGCCACCTCGTTCACATCATGTATCAGGTCATAACGACTGCGCATGGATGAACGTACCGTATTGTTAGGTGACTAGCCGGTACAGCATACAGCATACAGCAGATCGTCGACTTGCCACGCGGAAGGGGTCAGGCCCCACATAACAGGACCAGGATCAGCCAGCAGCGAAGAGCAGTTGTCCATTCTCAATTTTGAATTGGGAAACCACTTGAAGCTCTTCAGCGGAGATGCATATGCGGCAATACAACCGGTGGCATGGGTGTTTGGTCGCCAAGACCAGGCAGCAGTAAATCGCGACGCCGTCCTCCGTGGATCTTCTGCACTGCAGTCCAGCGCCTGGTAAACGTGGCAGCAAGCTTATGTAGGCAACACTTGACAGGAACGATCGGCACCGCTGAGGGTAACCGCCACATTCACTATCTGCCACTCGGTGTTGAAGTTCTTCAGTCAGTTCAGGCATGCAGGTAGGAGCTAGGAAAGTAGGATCTAGGATGCGTGTCTGCCAAGTAGACTTTCCTAGTAGAAAACACAGTCAGGTACGCACTTCTGGCAAAACATCATGTACAGTCGTGGATGAACATGATTGCACCACAATCTCATGATGTACAATCATGATAACAGTATCACAGAAATGCTGCAGATTGAGCACTAAGCAGTAAGATGTTGCGGGGTAAAGCTATTATCATGCCCCTAGATATACTGTTGAGTTGAACCTCACTTTTCTGGACACCTTGGCCTTGGGTCAGTGATTCAGGACAACATGTCTGGATTATCTATTTGTCCGGACAATCATGGGCATCATAATACCTAGAGTATATATAACCCCCCCCCCCCCCCCCCCCAGAGTGTGCAACTCTGCATATGGGGTCTCCGACGGCGAAAACTCACATCGCGTGTCTCCGGTACGTTTCGTACTACGTACAAACGAAGAATAGCGTTCGCGCAATCCGAATATCTGCCATGATCATGCCGGGGATTTGCATACACACAGTGAGTTTCTGTCAGAGAGTGCTTTTTTATTACTCCGCTGCTCGCTAAAAACGGGCTGGAAACGTACAACTGCGACACCACCCTACGTGATGTGAGTTTTCGCCATCGGCGAACCCCATAGAAAGGGTACCATGAGTTGCACACTCTTAGGGGTATATACTTTTGATAATACTAGTATACAGGTGCCATAAATTTATAGATTTCATTATTTTAGCCAATCACACTGACAAAAGCTAGAGGAAAGAATGTACAACCGTTCTCTGGATACTTTGTGTCAACTCTAGTTGATAGTGACGGGAATAAAGCAAGGAAGAAAAAAGAAAATCATTCTTGAAAACCTGGGCAGTGTTCGATTTGTTATCCGGATCAGGAGTTGAAAGATTTGAATCCGGAGCGAGCAATTTATAGATCTTCCATCTCCCGGCTCCAGTATGGCTCAGATTGAGTGGTACCTGGATAATTTTCACTATCGATTATTTCCTTATTTGGGACAGGAGCGAATTTGTCCTTTCAAGGCTTTGAATGATTGTCAGGGACCATAGAGGTATCTCCGATGTGCATGCCAATGACTTTTGTAGTTGTCTCCATCATTCAAAGTACATTGTGCAGAATCTGAGGAAGCCAGCCAGGTCACGTGATTGTTTGATGAGGCCAGCTTCACCTGCTTGCTTGGCAGAAACATGCTTTGACAGTGTTACCTCGATTCGTAGTCCCTCGTCACTATAGGTAGGCCATTTGTGGAGAGAGGGCCACCTAGAATTAATTCGTTGTTTCGGGTAACTTCACTCATCCGTACCAGGGTCGGTCGGTCGGGTTTATTTTTTATTTTGGTTACGTACATGTACATGTACATCGAATAGCTTTTGTCCATCTAGCCGGCAGTCGATCAAATCTGACTGTAGTGTAGACAATCCAGCGCAGTCATTGTCCCATGAGATCCAGGTCCCCTCCAGGACCAGATCTTGGCCTCGCTGGCAAACGAGTCTGACCGGCGAGCAGCTGTCACCTTGAAAACTTCTGTAAATAGCGACAAGGTGGCGGAGCTGATGCTGTTTCAGGACTGATTGCGGATCGGAGATAGAATACAACGTCGTCACCAAGCGCTGCATCCTGTCATTTGGCTAGCCATGGCTGCTTCTGAGGTCGATATCTGGACTGCTATTATTAGGGTCGCGTGTGTACATAGTCTAGTCTGTACATTTGCATGCACTATAAAAAAAAACATTTTGCAGTCGGGTGAAAAAAGATGGTCAGTCGGGTGACCCGAAACAACGAATTAATTCTGGATGGCCTAGCCAGGTAGGCGGGTAAGCAGGAGCTTACGGCATGTTCATCAATTCGCGCCCCCCCCCCCCCCCCCCCCACACACACACACATGTGCTCTCTGGCCGATCTTGCTCACTACACCAGCAACCTGACTCCAAGTTGTTGTACATGTGGATATCATATTGGCATTCCTGTAAATTCCTCCATACAGCTATTTCAACAATACACACATGTATCTCATCAGTGAAGCACTGAATTGGCTTCATGGAGATATCCTTTTTCATTTCGCTACCTCCAACAACTTGAGGTTGTGGTACTGATGTGGTGACCCAGGTCGGACAGAGAGCACAGATGCATGGTGGGTGGGGAATTTGAACTAAAATAAGATCACATTGATCACTGGTTGAGGGAATGGAAAAGCGAAAAGTGACTATACACTGATTATACAGCCTGGTAATTATACTTCGAAGTAAAAAAATGAGATGGAGTGTAACACGGCTCTCGGAGTCAAACCATGGACCATCAGGTAGGGAGGGCCCAAATATGCTCAAAAATTTCGCATATTATGCTTTTCGCATATTGGCCACTTGCTTCAAAATATGCTTCGAAATCACACAAAAGCAGACAAATATGCTCGAAATATGCTCGAAATATGAACTGATATCAGTGATAATTATCCGAATTCTTTGCTCCTTGTAGCAAAATATGCTACATTTGGTACAATATGCTAGATTTGCTACTTTATGCGACCTTGAGTCGCGGACACTCTCTTCTCGGGTCAAATTTTCGCCCCGTGTGGATTAGGCCTCAGCGGCTAATGCTAGTTTTTTTGGGCAAAAATGCTTTTGGCAATGCTAGTTATTTTGGTTGCTAATGCTAGGTTGAGTGCTCGTTTGCAGCATTAATGCTTGTTTCAGCACAAATAAAAAGGAAAGAAAATGGTGTACAGAAATACTTTTTCGGATGGTCTTGTGTCTAATTTCATTGTAGACACGATCAGATGAAACAGGGCACCATGGTGTGTGTGTGGAGGTTTGGCGCTTCCAAATAGGCACCCTTAGCATTGAGACGATAACGCTAGCGGTAACGGTATTTTGACTGTGGCCGGACCAAGAGTACCCATTTTGTTACTGTATGGCATATATGTACCCTTGAATCCTGTTGTGCACTTGCTGTGTGCCAGAAGAGGCCCAGACTCCATAATTGGTGCAAACATTACCATATGGGTCATTGCAGCGTATGACTTGGAAAGGTTTTTAGCCCCCAGGCCCATTTTAATGCTTTTTACCCCATAAAACCTGCTTGCAATGCTAGAGCAATGCTAGTTTCCAAAAAAGGCCTTTAATGCTACTTTTAATGCTAGCATTAGCCGCTGAGGCCTAGTGTGGATGAGCATTTTTCCTTCCAGGATAAGTTTGGAAGTGTTCCCTGACCGAGCGTGCCATGGTAAGTTTCCTTGTCCATTTCCGCAATCTGCCCTATGATTATCCCTATATTTATGCGAATTCTTTGCTCCTTGTAGCAAAATATGCTACATTTGGTACAATATGCTAGATTTGCTACTTTATGCGACCTTGTGTCAAAAGGATCAAAATATGCGAAAATTTGCGCAAGCATATTCGCCCCCCCCCCCCCCCCCCCTTCTACCATCAGGACTCAGGAGAGGGGAGGGTGTGCACTCTTGCTGTGTAATTGGGGACTGTGCGGTACCAGCCACCACCATGTCCACTGTCACGTGTGCTGCGAGTATTATTTACGCATGTTGTTGTATTTGGTTCTTGTCTCATAGAGTCCAGTGTCTGATGTCATATATGGTCTAAGTGTACGTGCAAGTATGGTGTGATGTGTGACGTTTATGGTGTGTGGTGCATGCAAGAGTATGCGTTGTCAGAGTGTGAGAATCTGCTTCCGTCTGTGTGAGGTGACTGTCAAGTGAATGCTGTACATGCGCAGTGCTAGTTTGGTCTGGGAATGAGAGTGATGTGTGATTCGTCCGTGGTCTGGTTGTCTTGGTCTTGGTCTTGGTCATGGATTCTGTACGTATTGGTCCCTGATTGGTCATCCTGATTTGTCACCTCTTTATCACTGCTTGTTCTTTGTTGCTTCGGTGTGTCTTTTTCGTTGTACATTTTTTTGTGTCTTGTTTTTGTCTTTCTCCTCCTGCGCCCTCGCCGTTTATTATTAAGAAGTGAATACTAGTATTGAAACTAACCGACCGGTGTGCTGCTGTTTGGCAGGGGCCAGGGGGAGAAGGCTAGTTCTATTTCACGTGTGCTGTCACCCAGTGTCATGTTCAATAGTAGTGGTAAGGAAAGGCGGCGATGAATGTGTTGAAATGAATCAATCGGAGTAAATTGTATGCTTTTGAATGTTTCCTTGTTCCTCTACAGGTCAAAATGAGCTCATGGAATTGTACATATGACATAATGGACTATGACCAGGAAATGGGCTACACATAGCAACATACCAGTGTTGTTGACACGAGCTTGGAAGGTTCACCAGCCCGGCTGCACGGAGAGTACTATAAGACAGATATGTCAATGAGTGACCTATCCGAATCCGATGATCACTACTGAGTCACAGCAGCAGTGATTGTAACAGAGGTGCAGTGAGTAATTGTTGCCCAGAAGCATAAGCAGAAACAGCAGCAGCAGCAGCAGCAGTAGTAGTGACAACACGAAAGTGGAAGCAGTGGAGAAGAGAGGGAGGCAGTGGTGGCAACAGCAGCAGCAGCAGCACTGAGTAGCCTGTATGTATGTAGTGCTGGCAGCGGCAGTGACCCAGCAGCAGAGGCAGGAATAGCTAGTGACAGGAGCAGCCACCGTGAGCAAGGATTGCATCAGCAGCATCGGCATAGCAGCAAGACCAGCCGAAGCAACCACAGCAGCAGCCGTCGCCCCAGCAGGAGCAGCCAAAGCAGCCGAATCACCAGCTGAAGGAACAGCAGTGTTGACACAAAGCATAGTGTGCCGCAGTGGAACGGATGTGAATGACCGGTCATGGATAATGAAGAATGACTGACTGTGCGCATGACTAACCGGCTTTCTTCAGATACTTGTACCTAGAAACTGCCTACACACTCTACCAAGTGTTGTCAGGATCCTCAGTTCACTTAAACGTTGCATGATGCATGGTCGTATACTGCCTTACCGGCAGGTCCAGCCATGGCTGGAACATATTTCAGGAAAACGTTGCAAAACAGCGTTTTTTTGTCAATAATGTTCAATTCCGGACAAGTATCCCATTGGGCCGGACCACCCGAAGTACCGGTGCTGCGGCCCCCGCGATGTACACCAACACAGAAGATCAGACTTACAGTGTCCTGGAGTGTGCACTGTTTCAGCCTCAGGCATACCTCAGCCGGTGCACCAACACTAGTGTACAGCAGTGCGTGCATCGGTTCGACATCGCCAGTTTTGGCGTACAATTATGTATACCGTCTGCAGTAGCTGCACAGGTGAAAAATAGACAGGGAGCAGGGGGGGGATACATGTACATGTACTACTGCACTTGTACTCAATGACAATACAATACAATACAATACAATGATTGTATTCATGTTACTTTGTACAGCACACAAATGTAACAACAAACACAAGGGAGTAGTAGGGAGGTAGCCTGGTGATGCGAGATCAGCCACAGCCACCTCCACCTTGGGTCTCCGGTCAATGGTCTCGACCCGTTGGCACTTGTCTACGCACTCAGTCGGGACATCTTTTTGAGTGTGGTTATCATGAGTCTTTCCTTCCATCAGGACCACAATCTCGTAGAAGGACGTTTTCTTTTCTGCAGGGAGCTGTTCGCAAACGAAACCTGGTTTGAGTGCGACTCCCCGGTTCTCTCCTTTCACTGAGCAGCCACACTTGTTTCACTGAGACGGGTAAAAGAGTGCTCACCTGGGCCTTGTCAGGTACTATCAAGTTGGCCCATTAGGTTGGAAATTCTCAACCGCCGTATCCTCCGCCTGATATTTAGAACTAGCCGCTACATTTCTAACTCGGACTTGTACAAAATTGCAACCTGTGCCCCCCCTGCAGAGTTATCTCGATGTTATAATGTGCTGTCTTGTGCACGCAATTTACCTTGGCATATCCCCCCCCCCCCCCACACCTACAGCAACTTAATTGGTTTGTTTCGAACTCCCCCACACGTAGTAAAGTCCGTCTCCCCCGAGCTACTACATCTCTGTTTGTATCTTCCCCCTTTTTCAGCTCTTATACTAAATGGCTGGCGTTGCCCCTTCATGCCCGTCAGGCAAAGTCGCTTCCCTCGTTTCGCAATCTTGCAAAGCAGCATTTCAACATTCCCATTCAATAGTCAATATACCTGTTTAGTCTCGGTCGTCTCACGTCGGTTGTACTGCTCCCCTTCCTCTATTACTTACCATGGTATTGGTGCACCACCACACTTCTTATACTTTCTTTCTACGCCATGGCTGGCAAACGTCCCCTCCTCATCTATATTGGCACTGATTCATCTTTAGCCACTGGAAGGTGTAATAATAATAATAATGTGGGCAGTGCTGGACTGTGTTGATTTCCCTATACTTTCTCGTACAGTACATTTTCTAATGTATGTGAATGATATCCGGGTGCAATTCTCAACACCTCGCTATATGCGGACGACACCACTCTGCTGGCTAGTCACCGGTCGCTCCCCGTCGCGTGTCAAGACCTGCAGGTAGGAATAGACTGTGTGGTCAAGTGGATGCGAAGGTGGAAACTCCGCCCGAACTCCGCCAACACCGAGATCATGTGTGTCGTCCCCAACGCGTCATCAGATGTTGCACATCTTCAAACTTTTATTTTCCATTTCCCCGATGATCCTACCCCGATACCTATAACCTCTCGTCACAAGCACCTTGGCGTTACACTTGATAGCAAATTGGACTGGTCCCACCATTTCCAGAATCTGGAAAAGCGGGCAAGCTCAGTCGTCGGTATTCTTTATGGCCATCTCCCCCACATTTCACCAGAATGCCGAAAGACCTTTTATCATACATACGTTTTGCCTATTTTCTTGTATTGCTGTGTGGTGTGGTGTGGCGCTAGTAATGGCCTCTTTGCAAAGCTGGAGATTGTCACTGATTGTGCATCGACGGATTCTCCGGGCAATACTTCGTTTGCCGCCCGAGACCAACATAGCCGTTCTCTATGAAAATTGCTTTACATTTCCTCTGAAACATTACATTTTTAGTGACCGATCCTCCTGCGTATACATTCACAAAATCAAACTTATCACTGCCCCTCAGCATGTGCAGCATTCCTTAATTAAACTGGTTCAATGAATCCTCAACAAGCCGGAACTCGCTTCGTTTCCCGATTGCAAGAAACAATTCCATGAGCAAATCGCCTGTATTCATGGTATTCCTAGCATACCAATTATGGGATTCTCTTCCTCAGCAATTAAAGTCCAGCAACACCCTCAATGCGTTTTTAAGGTGGCGCTACACCTTTCCGGCACCTTTCAGAGGGTCAAAAATCGAATTTTGGATTTTGACCCCATTTTCGCTTCCAGACCCTCTGGGTAGGTTCCAACCGCACTTCCCGAAAATTTGAAGTGAATTGCTTCAGTAGTTTTTGAGATATGGACTTTCAAAGGCCGCTATTGTCAAAAATAGTAATTGTAAATTCAAAAATTCAAATTTTTACGCATTAGAATTTACATTACACATGTTTTGGGTGTAACTTTGATTTCGCTGGCATTTTAGCGATGAAACTTCGCGGAAAGGCTGAAAATCTCCCTGGTTTTACCTTGCTGCGCCCCACGCAGAGCTGACATCACCATCGGCATCAGCATGCAGTGCCAGTGCGCATGTCACCACACACATGCACAGTGCGCATGTCGTACTTCAAATTTTTGGTAAATATTTTTATACCAGCAATCTCCAATCTCCAAATTGTAGCTCTTTATCAGTTTAGCTGCTTTGTTGGCTTTCATCTGTTTTGTGGAACCTTCCTTGATCACTATGGGCAAGAGGCAGTACGTAGGCCGTCCTGGTCGTCCAAAGAAGCGCAAATTCCATGGAAATCAATGTGCTAAATAATTTTTAAATTGTCGAGTGAAATTACGAAAATTGTCGTGGCAGAAGACTCTTCTGTGTTGCCAGAAGATAGGGATGATGCCGAAGTCCAACAGTCTAATTCTGGTGAGAGTGAGACATCTAGTGACAGTGACAGCAACAGCTCTGGAGATGAGCGCGACGGTGATGATTACCTGACGACCGGGAGCCGAATTATTTATTTAGAATGTTTACAAAATTTACTTGCTGATAGTGCCTGTTGCTCAGCGTGCCATGGCACCCTTACACTATGTGAAGTACGACGTGAAGGTTTGGCTTCAACTCTATCGCTGGCCTGTGACAGCTGCGAGGCTGAAAGCCGTGAAGCTATGTCCAAGAAGACTGGGCACTGCTGGGATGTGAACAGAAAGCCGGCTACTGCAATGACATGGATAGGACGTGGGCATCCCTTGTGAAATTCTGCACTGTCATGAATATGCCTGCATACCAGAAGCACACCAAGGTACTAGCAAAGGCCAGTAGAGTTGTTGCCACCAGCAGCATGAGCGTGCAGCTGCGAATGCCAAGGAGTTGGCGTCTTCCCCTGATATTGCCGTCACTTACGACGGAACGTGGATGCGACGCGGCTTTACCTCGCTACATGGAGCGTTTCTTGCCATCTCATGGGATACTGGCAAAGTCATCGACTACGAAGTCCTCTCCCGGCACTGCCAGCAGTGCACAATATTCCAGAGGAAGCTGAGCAAACATGAGATCAGCAAGGAGCAGTATACTGCCAACGTACGTGGACATGGCAATGACCTGCAAGGCATGGCATGCGCGATATGGGCATCGGTCGTGCATTGTGTTTCAACAGATGACAAGCCGCAGCATCAGTTCTGCCCCCTGGACCAGATAGTTGGTGCAAGTGGCAGAGTCATCAAGCTGGTGGCCCTGAATACCAACATATGAAGAGCCTGCCGGATGCAGTCTTCAAAGTCATCAAGCCTGTGTACTTGCGGCTAACTGAGAGGCAACTTCTCGAGAAATGCTTGCGTGGCGCTACTCAGAATCGGAACGAGTGCATCAATGGCCTCATTTGGCAGATTTGTTCAAAGACTGTCTTTTGCTCGTCAAGGACTGTCCAGACAGCTGTTGCCATAGTCACTGCTTGCTTCAACGAGAAGAACAAGGCCTCTGAGTAGATTCTTGAAGCGATGGGCCTGACAGCTGGTCACTACACGCGGACAGCGCTTGAGAAGTTGGACCGTGAGCAAGCCAAGAATGCAGCCAGGAAATCCTCAGATGAAGTGAAGAGTGCAAGGAAGAGGCAAAGGAGAGTGAGGTAGGGTGTGGAGGAGCAGACTGTTGATGACGAAGGTCTCACTTATGAGACTGGGGCCTTCTAAAAAGTAGCTGGCGTGGTGGACACAGATTGTAAATACATGTATTATACTGCAATTTTCCCCTTTTTTTGGCTATTCCCGCAACTCTTAACCAAGCTACTGAGATAACCGTGGCCTGCAGACCCAACAAAGTATACATTTTTGAAATCTGTGAAGCATTAGCTAGACATTGAACCGAAGTTTCAGAGGGCTGCTCTTCATATGCTCATGATAGCACAGGTCAAACCTTTTGTTATTTTTTGTGCTTATCGTTCTTTTCTTTTCAATCTCCTGCACTTGCTGGCTTGTTTTGCTGGTGTCCCCTTTCTTTGGTTCAATGTCTTGCCATGTGTGTGTGAGACACTGCAGTGGCACTCATTTTATTGCATAGGACGCATGGTCTTCTATATTGTGGTTACAGGCGAACCTTTCGGCGGATTTTGCGAACAGATCCGTCACATGTATGCCAACAGTAGATAGATGGCATCTTTGGCTTTATGTTTGCTGTTTCTGAAACGGGTATATCCAAGGAGTAAATGCTGAAAATTTTATAAGAATCTGTTTACCCATTGCTGAGATATGTGTGCTTACGTGGGACGGTGCCGGAAAGGTGTAGCGCCACCTTAAGCTTGATAAATGTACACGTACGTCGATCTTCATTTACTAATCATTGATTTTCATTCTCTTTGTGTATTACTTCAAGCTCCAAAGTAAATCACATATGCTACCTGTACAATTCATTTGGGTTTTGGATTGATTTTTATAATTGATTTTGGTTTTGGATTGATTTACTTTTATTTCATTTTCATTTTCATATAAGGCCACACGTTTTTATAATCTGACCCGCGCTCTGCGAAAACCGACCTTAGGTGCTTCGTAATTTTTTCGAGAAAAAGAACAAAACGTCACGATCTGTCGATTTTTGAAGATTACAAGGTGAGAGTCATGGCGGAACGAAGCAGAAGACAGTCGCTAGCTCAAATTGCTGCGGGCTTCTCCCCAGAGGTTTTAGCCGAACTCCTTCACGATGAATAGTCATTTTTTGGCCTGGTCCAATCGCAGTTCTGATGACAGCAGTGCCGAGGAGAGTCGGATGTGGAATCGCAGGACGTAACGCTGATCGAGCTGGACGGTGATGCGGAGGAGAATTTCGATCAGGCGTCGGTTCTGCCACCAGCCCAGCCCCTCAATGCCGGCAATATACAGAGTGCACACCAAGAAAAATCGGTTCAAGTACTGTCTACAATCCAGGAGGCGCGTGACAAGTTTGACAAGCGCTGTAGGTGTTCCGCACTGGTGCTGTTTCAAGAGCGTGACACTTGAAACCTTGCTTGCACTTACAGCACACACAGCGCAGGTCCTGATCAAGACACTGAGATCGCTGCTTGTGTGTAGGCGGAAAGCTAGACGTGCTCAGGAGACGTGGTGAGGCTACCCAGCGCGTCCAGCATGCTGGGAGATGTGATAGATGGGGCTCAACAACACTACTCTGAACTACTGAAGTACGGAGTCAGTGGCTGGTGTGGAAGTCATCAGTACATGCATGTCAGGAAGTCTTTGTGTGTGCCTCCAGGATCAAGCCCTGGGTGCTGAAATCTACAGGCTGCTGTCAGTGCAAGTGTAATCAGCCCAACACAGAACTCTGGAATGCACTGCCTGTAGAAGATGTTGTGGAGCTGAAGCATTTTATAGAGCGTTATGCTATGCTAGTATTATGCTATAGTTCATGGCCTCCCTTAACCTGCGGCTCGACATGGACACAACAAGCCAGTACCAACCTACATGTATTTGCCCAGCATCACTACGAAGAAGCTTGTTCACCAGGCGTTCACAAATCCTGGTTGCAAAGCTGCATACAGTACGTTTGGCAAGATTTGGAAAAGAGACTGCCATGATATCACCGATTACGAAACAATGTGTGCGGCTGATGTAGACATAACTAGATGTTCTAACTACCAGTACCAGATAAAACTATCAATATCCTTTAATCCGGTATTGATCCTAGCTTCTTCACTACTTTGCACCTGCCTCTACGCATCACTCCGGCTGGCATATCCTCAAACAGAGCCAAATTTCTCTTCCACCAGATTCGTGAGCAACACCATCCACAGAACAGAGATAGAATGTGTCTATCTCCACAACAGGAAGATCCAATGCCATCATAAACCTTTCCTTTTGAGCATTATGACATACAGATTTATTCTGCAAAGTTTGGTTGCAATCATCCTGCTTGAATTCTCGCTGCATTGGTTCCAAAATGTAGCATAAAACCCTGGATTTTTGCTATTTTTCCTCCAAAAATTGCAAGAAAAGTGCAAAGAAATTGTCATTGTATCTAACTGAATATGTATGCAATCCACCTAAAACTTCACCAGAAGTTGAAGAAAGGGTCCTGGGTCAACAATCCAGCACAAACTCAATTTCGCCAAAATAGCACCTAAGGTCGGTTTTCGCAGAGCACTGGTCATCTATGTTTCTCGTCACCCGCGAGCATACGATTCAGGAGTCTGGAGGAAAAAAAGAAAAAAATGTGCTGCACTGACTGTGCATGTGGGGACCAGCATACTCATGCACATGTACATAATGTGGCCTGGCCTGCGCGACACATGATGCGAGGTCACCAATTATTGTGCGCAATCTAGCTGCACATGCACAGATTGTGACAGAAGCTCCTACCACATACTAGTTGCTAACTATGGATGCTATTTTGCATGGTGTATTGGTGGATTTTAGTGTGAACAAAGGTCTGATAAACTTTTTTTATTTTTCGGTCATTTTTTATTTTTTTCCACCTCTCGCATATGTTTTTAGATTTTCAGGTGACGAGAAACATAGAAATAAAAACGTGTGGCCTAACTTGCCATATTTTGCGTGTGCATTTTTGCCTTCTTGTTCTTTATTCCATGGCTGGTAGCCCTCATTCATAATATTGGTTGACACCATGTCATCCATGAATTGAGAATAATAATAATAATAATAATAAAAATAATTGTACATGTACCCTACTACTACTACCCTCGACTACACTCACCCACATCAAGAGTTCATAACCCCTGGCCTGGGGGTTATGAACTCTTGCCCACATGCACTGGTTGCCCAACCTCTTTCGGGTACAGTACGAGTCGTAGATTCTACGCGTATATGTCCGGTACGCGGTTGACGTCCGCAGGTACAGTAGGTGCGCGCTACGCTGATCAGAGGCAAAATGCGCGCGGTTTGTGCCAACATCCGGCCCGCGCCCGGCGCAGCTCTCGCACTGCGGTTGGCTTGCCACGTGGTGCAGTCCTACTCAGGTGTTGCACGTTCTTGCTCGATCGAGTCGATCGACGACGTTCACATGGTCCACCCTCTACCTACTTGAGTACCCATCCAAACTGAACTGCATGCTGTGGCCGAAAGTGCTCTCGACGTCTCCAGCTTGGCAGACGGTGATTCCTCCGGAGGGAAAACAGTACCAAACTAACTTGTCTAGTAGTCGGAGTGGCCAGTACGTTGCTTTCTTTCTTCCCGGAAGCCACCTAGCCTGTCACGCGTAAAAGGATTATTCGACGGGAGCTTCCTCTGTGTGTGTAGTGTCCAGTTCAAGAAGTGTCGCCACGTGCTGCTGTCTGAAATAACAAACATGGATGTGAAGTGTCTAGATTTGGAGCAAGGTGTAAATGGCATGGACGTTTCGACGGATGTTCGAGTGGAATCCTCTGGGGCATCTACTGAGGATGTCATGAGTAAGCAAGCTAATACAATTAGTATACCCGTGTTCGAGGGTCGGGAGGGGAATTATTTGAATCTACAAAATCTACATTTACGAAATACTTGCTCTTGCAAGAGGTGCTATTTCCAGAATTTTCACATCCGGAGCTCTTTCAAACTATAAAATTGAGATGTCCAGAATATTTACTCCAGAATTTCTGTGATAACAATAGTACAGTGGACCAGCCCTCGCTCCCCCCACCAACTCTTTTGCCACCAACGTGTGTTTACAGCTGAGGATGTCACCTGTACTTGCCATATCATGCACAATGTATGAAAGGCTAGCCTGATGTCCCTCCAGGAACTTGCGATTCCGCGGCCGCGTTGTTTTCCGCGATTTGAACAAAAGTCCGCGATATCCGCGATATTTGAAAAATCATCCGCGATATTGTAGAAAACTGTCCTTGATACTTGAATAGCACCGCAATATTTCGAAAAGCACCCGCGATATTCGAGTCTTTCTTCGATGTTGTTTAGTTCTTCAAGCTCGTCAGTAGTTTACTTGTGAGATAGACACCAGAATGGAGGAGTTTCTGGGCAAATCAGCGGCTGAAAAGTCAGGCTCGCGTAGAGTGTTGTCCACGGATGGAAGAAAGCTGTCTTGCAAGCTCCTGTAAGGCAGTTGAACACAGTTGCAATCGAGTACAGCGCAGCACACGTGCATAATTTATGCTGCAGGACTCTTACATAATTTGCAGCACACTACAGTTCAGGTACCAAAATCGGCCGCATTTTCCGCAATTTTACCACAATAATCCCGCAATATTTGACAAAATCCGCAATATTCCCCGCAATTTGTGGCATTTTACCTCGCAAATTTTTCCGCGATATTTCCGAAATGTCTCCGCAAGTTTCTGGAGGGACACGGCTAGGGTATGGCCGGACCAATTGAAAACTGCTTCCGCCGGTCCTGCTTTTCTACAACATCTGTCTTGAAAACTGCTACTGTACTAGTAAAGTCTTCTCAATTGAAAGTGCTCTGCCCTGCGAAGCCGTCTTGGAAACAAATGCCTGAGAATGGCGCACAGATGTGTCGTGCAAAGACGTGCAAATACATTGTACAGTACATTGTACAGTACATTGTACACCTTTCCTGTGCACTCACTGTACTCCCAAGCCCGACCCAGGTATTCCATAACTTGAAAACATGGCCGAAGCAATGGTCACTGTGTCATTGCGTCGTAACGAGAGAGGGGGGAGGGGGGAGGGGGGGAGGGGGGAGGGGGGGGGAGGGGGGGCTTCATGTGCATGTACAATAAAGAAATGAATTCGTAATAACTGAACTGTTCTGAATTCGTAATAACTGCACTGTTCTGATGCATACGTTCTCGGACTCTCTGTTCGTTTACATGCTGTCGTTTGTCGTTCAGACACATCGCCAACTGGTCGTGAGCACCCTGTGGCGCTGGATGACGGCCAAGTGGTCATGTTTGTTGACTGTGTGGATGGCAACGTGCTGTCGCGTGTCCTGTCGTCCATGTCCAACAGTGGTTCGGGCGGCAACGGCGTACTCGCCGACGGAGTGTTGCTGCATGATGCCCAGGGTACGTTTTCAGTAGCTCCCGCTGGTCATAGTCATGACCATAGCACTATAGAGGACGTGTCTAGACAGCCCCAGGTAAAGGAGAACTGCATGCAAATGTGCACAGCAGTGGACGGCAGCGACAATCGCAACTTGGACTTCACCAATGGCGGCTGTACATTATTGGCATCGCCTTGCGCTACATCAGCAACAAACACTGCCACTACGGAACCTGAGTGTGTGCAGATCATGGCCAATGTGCTGCCTCGTGATCAGGGCGTTCTGGATTGTCTTGTCAACACCACCAGTATCGACACCGGTGTCAGTGCGCAGGACAGTCCGCACACCGTGACCAGCATTACAACGCCATTGGTTTCGCCCACTGCCATGGCTGCTGCTTCTGGTGATGACGCCATGCCTAGTGTTACCATGGTGACCAGTAGTGTGGCTGCTACAGTACCTGTGGACATTGCTATGGTTGATGTTCCTCAGTTAGACAGCCAGATTTCCTCCGAGCTGACCGCCGTGCTGGATCTAGACGTCAAGCCAGTGGTCGCAAACAGTCAGACCGATGCATCGCCAACCATCTCTAGTCCCGGCCTGCAAACAGACGTTACTGCAACACCGCAGAGCGTTGCCTCACCGAGCACTGGCCAAGAGGAGCTGCAGCAGCTGCAGCAACAACAGCAGCAGCTACAGCAGCTGCAGCAACAGATAAGCAGTGGCGGTTTGGTTATGGTGACGTCGCCGAACCCGCAGACAGTGTTCACTGTTCAATGGTAAGCTACTCCTTGTCAGCCTGTGTGTGTGTGTGTTTGTGTGTGTGTGTGTGCGCGCGTGCGTGCGCGTACGCGTGTGGTGTGTGTGTGTGTGTGTGTTCAGTACAGCTGGGTAGAGGAGCCGTTGGGCTAAGTAAATGCTACTCTTGGTGTGAAGATTTGCAACTCCGCATATGAATTTGGGACCCTAAATTCGTTGTTTGAACCATTTTGTATGAGTTATGGAAGCCGCACTTCATGACGGCAGTCAGTCTTGCACTGCATCAGTATGGCCTGTAACATCCGTTTTTCCGAACTTTAGCTCATAAATAACACAAAGGATACGTTACGTTTCCTTACCTGCTACCAAGTTGCACACTCAGCTGTTGTGCTCTTGTTGGCACTGACACTTGCAGCCACCATTTCGCTTCGTCCAACAGTTGTATGTAATACTAATAGGCTGGACACAATGAGTGGCTTGTCTCCAAACTCCACCGGCACCTTGTCTGTCCTTGAAGAACCCCCCACTTGTTGCACTGATGTCAAACTAAACCATTGTTTGTTGTCTGCTTTTCTTTTCTCTCCCTTGCACCTTCTTGCCAGGCTGTTCAGTCACTTTGAGGCCGCCGAACACATGAGTTTGCCAAGGCACGCCATTTTCACTTTCTACTCCGAGTGCTGTAAGCAAGCAAGTATACAGCCTGTCAACTCTGCATCGTTCGGCAAGGTAAGTACATTGCTATCATGTCTATTCCTACTTGTTATCAAGCTCTATCATGGCAGCGTTTGATCATGCTATTTATTACTTTGAAGCCGATTTCTCAGAATAGTTGTCTGAGGATCACTGTTAACATGAAACTGGAGTTGCGACTGACGCCTTGTTCTGCCTGCCTTGTAAAGTAGATTTCTCTCGGTTTCACATGCATGTGTGTGTGCATGTGTGTGTATGTGTGTGTGTGCGTGTGTGCGTGCGCGTGTGTGTGTGTTTGGGTGTGTATGTGTGGGTGTGGGGTGTGCACATGCATGCATGTACGAACTTGCTGTCTGGTTTCTAGGCAATGCGGCAAGTGTTCCCAAACATCAAGACAAGGCGCCTTGGTACTCGTGGCCAGTCCAGGTATGCATGCACATGCACAACTCTAGGCTCCATTGTTCTATCTGTCACATCAACCATGGACCCAATACTACACAGGCCCGCCGGAACCGGGCAGGTTGGTCAGGTTATCACCGGACCAACCGTTTGGCCACCAACATGTGCTCAGCACTGTGGAGGGCATGTGTATTCACCATTTCGATTCACAAACTATGAAAGGCCACAATACTACCGGACCAATCAAAAACTACTTCCGGCGATCCTGCTACATACGGACAGGCAATGTTAGCTCACCTTTTCTTGTTACGGCATGATGTGCAAGTGGAAATGATTCAAGACTGTGAGTGAAGTAATTGCTACTTCGAGTAGGATCGTATGACACGGCATCACATTGTGACATTGCGACAGATTCAACCCGCTACCCTCGACTCTGCCGAAGCGACCTAGCAAGGTCAAAAGGAGCCCAGTTGCTTATGGTTCTTGGTGTGCTTCGAAATATACTGCACGTTCCCTTCTTGACCAGCGTTTTAACCATTCAAGATTTCGGCGTATACGCTTAGAGAAGATTTGTTTGTCGTATCCTGGGTTCCTGTATAGCACGCACTGTTGATGTGGAGCCTGAAGCAGTACATTCATGATGTGCACTGTACTCCAGCAAAAACAAGTCGGGTTGGGGTAGCTCCAGAACTGAATTCTCAGCCTGACCAGGCACTAATGTAGGTCGGAGGCTTGGAAGAGACTTGCAATTGACAGATCGTCCTGCTTGCTGGAGCTAACCAATGCCTTGAGCCGGCTTGACTCACTTGTGGATCATGCACTTTGTTTGGTAACGGACGGCCGTTTTTTTATTTGCAAATGGTGTTCACCCAGACTTACTTTTGATTCCGCTGTGATCTTGCAGGTACCCTTCCCCTCCCCCCCCCCCCCTCGGTTGCCTCGGGATTGCGTAAGCATGAAACTCAGAGTAGCGACAAACTAGTCTTGCTTGCCCTTTTTGTTCTGTGTGATCTCTCAGGTATCATTATTACGGCGTTGGTGTTCGCACCGCATCACCGTATCATGCGCTAATGGATGCTGCTCTGAAGAGCTGTACAGCGGACAGGTAAGAAGGTGCACCTAAGCTATCTGATCTCCAAGTTTGCTGACCGGGGTGGGGTGTCGCCATCACCAGACACATCAGTGGAAGAGCAGATTAGACTGTGAGCCAGGCACCAAAAATCCTGTTAGAATTATTTTTCGTTCCGACCTTGAGCGTACCGCAATTTTTTTCCCCAGTTCGTTTCATCTACTCGACTAGATACAAATTCAGCTTGTTGTCACTTCCAAATCAGGCACGAACATGCCCAAATAGAAGGGAGAAACTACTTTGGCCAAATCAATAGCCGCCATCGACAAGAACCAAGGTCACAAGAGCTGGAGCGGACTTCTGTTGCACCACTGACCTCGCAAAAATGTACGGTGGTGCAAACCCAGCCGCATCATGATGATGTTTTTTCGTGGTTTCTATAGTATTGTGTGCAGTGCTAGTGCAGCGCAGCGGCAGTACGAACATCATCATGTCCATCATATCAGTGTGCTAGCATGCTTGCTGCTGATCAGTCAAGCTAAACTAAAGGTTTTTGTAATCAGTGTTGGAGCAGAAATACATGTAGAACGTACAATGTACCTTATCTCCGGAGAGCTAATAACTGTTTCGATCTTTTATCTCTTAGCCTGTCACCAGGAAACCCTATATATAGGGTTTGACATAACGCTACACATAAAGACCCTATATATAGGGTTAGGACCCCTAAAGAAAGGGTTTGATCAGTCCTCACAACTGGGCACACAATACACACAGTTTCACTTGTTTTTTTTTGATATTTTCACTGCATTGCCATTGATGTTAGCAGGAGCGCTCCTACGACGTGCGCGAGTGTCGCCGCATTTGCTGCTTCCGACCCACGTGTGGATCAGCTGATGCAGAAACGGCAATGGCGGGAGCGGCAGCTGCGACAGCCGCTGTTGATGCTTCGCCTTCTTCTTCAGGAGCATCCGACGCTGCTGGAACATCGACATCATCATCCTGAGTCGACACCAGGTCGCCAGGAACATTCTCATCGCCCGAGTTCGTCTCCACTAACTGAAGTTGCTCTTCCTCCATCGTGAAAAATCAAACCCTAGATATAGGGTCTAGAAAATGTTACGACAGCGCTGCACTAAAACTAACCGTACTCGAAGAAAACAGCAACAAAATGATCACGGTCTTCAGCAAGAGAACCGTACGTACATTCTACGTATGTAGGCCCAGGCGTCTAGTTGCCATAGCAGCCAAGTAGGCTCTCAAGAGAGCTCAAGATAGAACGCGCGGCTGAAAACCCTATATATAGGGTTTGACAGGCTAAGAGATACTGAAGTGCTTCAGACTATGATTAACATGAATATGCATGTATCTTTCCGCTTGTGTTCTGTACATACAATGGGTAATGTTTCAAAATAATTATTATTATAGTTCAAATAAACTACAGATTTGTATCTGCCGGTATACCCCTGTGGTCCTCTAACGTTACTGGTTACGGTCATTGCTCTACCCTTTGCACTTATAAGTTAGGAAGCAATACAGCAGTACTTACGAAGTAACGTTACATTGATCAGTTATATGAGTGCAAATATACAAATCCTGTATCCAGCAACTTCTTTAACATTGTTCTGCCATACTGTACATGTATATATTATAGAGATGTAGAGGGTGAAATGAGCATTGCACCGGATTAAACCAGATTCTCCTGGCTGTTGTTGATGGTCTTTTCCAACCGTTGTCTGGAGAATTCGCTGCTGCTGGGCTTTGTATATTGAATGCCACCTGTTTGTTCTGTACATTATCATTCCTGAAATGCATTTCGTGGTTGTCGGCACCATTTCATGTGCACTTACCTACCAGTGCATCGCCACTTCGAGTAATATTTAAAATGTGCACGTACTTTATACAATGCACTTATGCGTACTTGTAATTCTATAATTTTTGGCTCGTATAGTTATTTTAGCCCAGCTGCAATGACGCTTGATATACATTTCTTCGTCCAGTGCCGTTGCCTGCTGAAAAAAGTAAGAAACACCTTCAAAATAGCATGTTGCTATGTCAGTTGCTATGTAGTTGCTATGGAAACGGGGTATGTTAAGATAATTGCTTATTTTGACTTCCCTGCAAGCTTCCCAAACTGACAACAATCAAAAATGATCTTCTATTAGGTCTCCCCACATGCTAAAAGAACAAAATCGCGGTACACCCAAAGTGGGAACGAAAATCATGAATTCATGCACTTGGCTCACAGTCTAGATGTTGAGGTGGGAAATTGGTTAGGATTTAGGAATAAGAGCATGATCTAGAAGAAATGTATAAGAGAATGGACCGAAATGCTACGAGTTGTGACTACCAGTCCACCAAGGTAACGAGACCCTAATACAGTCGGATAGTGCGACAACACGGCACACAACTGACATGGATATTGCGACATTCAACGGCCTAACACCTAGTCCCAACACATCTACGATGCGCAAACCAAGAACCTTCCAACTTGGAAGGCTCAGGGGCGGAAAGTTCCAATGAGGGGAAGGGAAGCACAACGAAGATGTGCACGAGCTATGTTTCTCTGCAACAAAGAATGTCGAATGTTACAGAACTCGTATTGGCCATTTTATTGTACCTAACTTGTCCATCATCATTATATCAACTCAGAGTTTAGTAGGATACTAGTATTGACTTTTCTGTTCGTCTCATATTTTCGTCTCATATTTTAGTGTTTGAAATTAACCCAGAAATAACTAAGGGCACATTTGGTTGGTACAACCTAGAACAGGACTTTACCAGAACCGCGCGTTCGATTGGGACTGCACCTGTGTTGGATCGGCCAGAGCATATTCTGCTTGCTCTGGCTTCGAGGCTGGAGCAGCCAGAGCAGTTTTACTTGTTCACGGTAAAACCTGGCGGGAACAACTATTTTGGTCCCACATGATCACGACGTGACGTGCATACGCTTTTTTTTTGCCTGTGTGTCGCTATGTGAACAGCATACCTGCCAACATCAAGCTTGAGGCATCTGAGGTGAGGCTTACTTTGCTGTGCATAAATTCATCAATGAAGTGACAAACTAGCCATGCATGGGAAAGTACATGTGTGCATACCCCTATGTACGGTATCAGCCGCTCCGCTGCCCTTGCTGCTGTTGAAAAGTTCAATTGTGACTGTTGTTGTTACATTGAATGTCTCTCTTTTCACTACACTAAATATCCGACATACCTTCCTTCCTTCCTTCGCCCACTGCCACGATTGGCTATGTGTCCCCAAACGGGGCGACTTGGAGGAGTGCTGTCTCCGGGACGCGGCATGAGGCCCTGCGAGTCCGGCGGGACGTGAACGGCTGTTTCACTGTTTGTTTTTTGCCTTTGCGGAGCGACGGGAGGTGCAACTATGTCTAGCGATGTCTTGAGGACGGCTGAAACGGCGTGTGCAGACCATACACAGGAGTGGTTTCACGGCAGGTTGTACACGAGAGCATACCACACTGTAGACTCCATCCTGACACCTGGTTCTCCACTCAGACCTATCATCTGCTGTTTCAAGCCACTCATTCATGCCAATGGACACCGCCGTCAGGTCATGTTTGATTGGGTCTTTCCACCTCTTCCGGGGGCCATGTGGAGGTCGTTTAGACGGCAAGGCACCAAAGAGCAATTGGCGGGGAATACGGTCATCCATGCGAGCCAGGTGGCCCAGCCATTGGAGACGACGGCGCCGGACCTTGTCAGAGACCTGCTCCATGTCACCCCACCACTGCCGTACCTGAAGGGTTGTCACGCGCTCGTCCATCTGGCGCGCCCGACTGATGCCCAGGACCATGCGTATAGATCGCAGGTGAAACGACTCCAGACGCTGGAGATCCCGTTGCCTCGGTGTCCAGTTCTCAGCACCATAGAGGAGTACTGCCAACACAGTGACTCCGTACACAACACGCTTGAGACCGATAGGAAACTCCGAGTTCGCAAACACAGCTTTCTTCAATGCGCCAAATGCACCCGAAGCTGCGGCGATCCTGCGAGAGACATCAAAGCTACTCCTAGCATCAGGAGTGATCTGGCAGCCAAGATAGCGAAAGCTGTCCACGCATTCGACGGTTCCACCCAAAGGCAACATATCCGACGCCACCACACCAACGCCCATAGGCATGAACTTAGTTTTGCCCAGATTGACTGACAGGCCAAAAGATGCTGCAACCTGTCGAAACGTGGCCAAGGCCCTTTCAGCACCGCCGTAGGTTTTGGCGAACAGTGACGAATCGTCCGCAAACTGACACTCCGTGATAGTCACCCTGCGACACTCTCTGAGACACGTATTGAACAAGCAGTCTCTGCGAAACTGCGACACCTGGATACCGATATCCTCGTCATTGGCGATGGTAGCATGCCACTTTTCCACAACCGCACCCATGAATAAGTTGAACAGGATCGGGGCCATAGTGCATCCCTGACGTAGGCCATTTCCCACCGGGAAAGGGTCGAGCAGATCTGCGCCGAGACGAATGGATGCAGACATGCCTTCATGGAACGACCGAATGATGGAGATCAGCTTATCCGGCACGCCGAGCCTGGAGAGAACCCTCCACATGGCTGCTCTAGGTACTGAATCGTATGCTTTGCGCAAGTCGATGAACACCGCAAAGCCCTTTGATGAATGCTCATGCAATTTCTCGGCAACCTGGCGTACTGAGAACACCATGTCTGAGCATCCCCTACCACGGCGAAAACCACACTGGGAGTCAGGCAGGTATTCCTCTCCAACCAGCTGCAGGCGATCCGCTATTATTCTTGCCACCAGCTTGCCGACCACGTCTAGAAGCGCGATGCCTCGCCAGTTACCACAGTCACTAAGATCACCTTTCTTGGGAATTGGGATTAAGATGGCGTCTGCCCAATCCTGAGGAACCCTTTCCGTCCGCCAAACTTCAGCCAACAACATCTCCAACCTAGGCACCAGTTCAGAGCCGCACTTGAGCATCTCCGCTGTTATCTCTGATCGGCCACATGCTTTGCCATTTTGAAGAGCTCGCATAGCACGGTGTATCTCGCTGCAGGCTGGGGCGTTCTCAAGGTCAAGCCGAATCGGGAGCTGCCCAATGGAATCAATGGCATCTGGGACAAAATCACTGATCACGTTTAGGACACCGTCAAAATGCTCCCGCCATCGCGTACCTGTTGCCTCTGGTGTCTCGCACACAACACCCTGCGCATTCTTGATAGCAGCTGTCTTGCGGGGCTGCAATCCATCAAGTGCAGTCTGGATCCTCTTGATGCACTCCCAGCCTCCCTTAGATGTTAGACTAAAGCGTTCGCAGTCCCGAGCCTGCTTTCTCAGCCAGTCCTGCTTTGCTTGACGAACGATACGGCGAGCTGAACTTCGGGCCTTCTTATACAGCTTCTGATCACTTGCCCTGTTGGTCGACATCCAGGCTCGGTAGCAATCGTCTCGCTCACGGAGGGCAGCCTCAATCTTCGGTCGATTGTCCAGGAACCAGTCTGGTTGTTTGCGCCGCTCTCTGCCAAGGCATTTCTGAGCGACGTCCGCCACCGTAGTTTTCAACGCAGCCCAGCATCCGTCCACAGATAGCTCATCTGGCCAGTTCTGAACCAAGGCAGCATCAAGACTAGTGGAATATTTTGCTCGCACTTCATCATTGGAGGGAGCCGTTAGGACTGCGGAAGCGATGGGTTTGTTGGCTGGTTTACTTTGCCTGCGGAAACTGGGCACCGCCGCCAAGCGGTATCTCATGGCAAGGAACTTATGGTCGGTGTCACACTCCGCAGAGCGGAGAACTTGACAATCCAGACATTGACGCTGACATGACTCTGGAATAATGCAGTAGTCGATACAATGAGGCTGCCCATACCTGGGATGGTGCCACGTGTGCTTGTGGATGTCCTTCTTCTTGAACCAGGTGTTGCAGATGAGCGCACTGTTTCTTGCCAGGAAGTTTAGTAAATCCTCTCCAGCAGAATTCATGACGCCATGTCCATGTGTACCCCTTACGCGGCTCCACTCGTCTCCAGCAGTACCAACACCAACACGAGCATTGAAATCGCCGAGTATGACATACTGGTCACTCCTGGGTACACTATCAAGGAAGGACTGCAAACTTTCATAGAACGCAGCTTTCTCCTCACGTGATCTACTGAATGTTGGTGCATACGCAACAGCGATATGAATGCAAGATACTGAACGGTTACGACCACATTCGAACTTTACCTTCGCGGAGACAAGTCGCGAGCTGTGTCCTTTCCATTCCGAACCGCCGCTGACAAAGGCGTCTTTGCACTTTCCGCGCAGCACTATCGCCACACCTTCACCACGACGTCCAGAGTCATCCGCCGTTGGAGTAGGGCGTCCACTCGCCAACACGAGAGAGTCGCCAACGCTGTACTGAGCCGTGCCGAACCAAAGGGTCTCCTGCAGACCTGCGATATCCACTCCGAAACGTCCAAGCTGCCGACAAACCAGGTCAATTTTCTTCTCCTCCCGCAACAAATGTTTTGATTTTTTTTGAAATTTTGAAGCCGTATTCACGTCGCCGTCGGACTCAACAAGAGTCCTCACATTCCAGGTTCCCAGAGACAGCACGAACCTCCGAGCGGCTGGTGCGTGCTGCGAGCTAAGCTCTGAGCGGGGGTTTGCAACTCCTCCGCGCTCAGGCGGACGAGGGTCAGCGCGAGTGGTCATATCCGAGGTGACCATGTTGTCGACGCTGAATTGTCCTCGTCCGCGGCAGCAAGATGACGGCTGCCTCGCTCAGCACAGCTACTCTACTTACTGTGAGTCTATCTCACCTGGGCTGGCCCCAGCCGGAGCTGGAGACCAGCCCGTGGAAGAAAACTTCTAAAAAAAACCGGAGCTCAAAAATCTCCTTCCACTCACCTCCAGCACAAAAACATACCGACATACACACACACACACACACACACACACACACACACACACACACACACACACACACACACACACACACACACACACACACGCATACCTTCGTCAAAGAAAGTGGTCTCTTTGCTGCAAATCCTGATGATGCCTGATGATGGCTCTTGGCCGAAAATTTGATTGAGAAAATAGAAGTTTGCAGCGAAGAGACCACTGGCTTTGGGGATCAGTGGCGTGCACCGAGTCTTGAAAGGGGGGTTTCTAGAGTTGGTAATTTTTTTCTGGAGACCCACTGTGTAAGTATGTATTTGTGCACATGCGCATGCCCATCCCCCGAACATCCCGTCGGAGATAACGGCGAGGGCTAGGGAGGCGAGGGCTAGGGAGGAGACTAGGCGGGGGGGGGGGACTCAATATCAGGGGTGCAGGACACCAATGAACACTGGTGCTGATGAGATGCAGGGCTCGTCCGACTGCTATCATCAGATCATGCCGGCACAAACGCGTCTGAGAGGGCACCAGGTACAGGGGTAGAAAGGACAGAAATAAGAGTAATGAGGAATGGAGGGCTAGGGAGGGGACGATGTTACATGGACATGTTGGTAGATCTACATGTACATGTACATGTATAACCTGTAGCAGGAAAAAACGGGCACGGGTTACCTTTTACATACCAGCACTTCAAAAAGTATTTGCAAAGACGGTGCAAATTTAAAATGTACTCATATACACTGTACATGTTTGTCATATTGAACCCGTAAACGTTTGATAGGCCTAGCCGCCCAGGCTACATGTATAAGTATAACACGTTGTCTATGGTACTTCACTAGTCCACTCCATGCAGGCATGTTTGTTTCATCAAAACACTGCTTACATTCGACGTATCTTTCTTTCTGTTCTTATGATGAAGTTTTCGGCATGTATTGGCAATGTTCCACATGATTTCAATAAAGAGTTATGGACCTTGCTTCGATGGAAGCTCGCGGGAGAAAAGCGAAGCCCCCGAGCCCTTGAGTCGCGGCCGGAGCTGCGCTTCAGCGCAAGTGGATCATGGACGCACATTTTTACGTCTTCCAGTCGACAGCGTTTTTGACGAACATCTCTGCTGCGCACATGAGCGGGAACGAAAGGCTGTCATCTTGATTTGAGTCAACAGTTTGGAAGGAGATATCGTCAATCATATCCTTGAACTGACTTGCATCGCACGTGCTTGACTCAAATTTCGAGACAAAACGGATTTCTTGAACGTCATCGCCAATCCAGGAGCGAACCCGAGCTAGAGATCGATCTCTCTGTGGCTACTCTCCACTGAAGAAAGAGAGAATATTGTATTTCGAACTGCATGGAAAGCAACTCTCTCTCACTTTGAAATAAGGACATAGTCACTGTACTGTAAACTGCCCGTCGATCGACGCGTATGCAGGATAACCAATCCAGTACGAGCGTAGGCACGCTTTTCCTTTGGCAAGATTGCCCGAAAAAAGGTGGTTTCCAGACACCAAAAAACTCATACGGTGCACGCGCCTGGGGATGGTGTGTGTGTAGGGTTTTCAGTGCAATGAAGTGGCTGCAGTGGAGCTTGCGCACCTTCAGAAATGTCTTTTGACAGTATATTCCTAAATAGGGCTGAAACGATCATTGGTTTTCACCTATCGATTACTATCTAGTTTCACGATCGATTACTCGATGATAATCGTTAGCAAACGTTGTCAGATCTTTATCCAAACATTCCTGCCTGTATCTGCCTGAAGAGAAGGCAGTAAAAGTGCTCATGGAAGTTTTCAGTAATGGTGCTTGTGAAGTCTATAGTTCTGTTCTTCAGTCTAATTTCATTTTTGTTCCCTCGGAAACTACTATTTTGCACCATGTTGTGTGCCTGTTCTAACCACCAGCCTGCTCCGGTAGCAGCAGTATCATCTTACCCTAGCAGCCCGTGCTCACCCAGCCAGTCGTCATTACCTATGGCATCATTGCCATCATCGCCTCTTCCGGGTTTTCCAGAACTTGCATCACTTCAACTGCCAGGCGAGGTGTCCTCCGAGAAGGTAAGTTGTTTGTGCAGGTCTACGCCTGCTGATGAATGAATGCCACATTCGTGAAATTAATTTTAGTAATATTAAACAGATTTGAAATGATGAGGTCCAGCCATACATGTACTTACATCAATGCCCAGGAAAACGTATTGCATGCCAGAGTACATGTGGTGTATACAAATACCCTAATCAGATATTGTACATTCTTTGGACAGCAGTGTATTTGCTCACACGTGTCCTGTGTAATGACTGGGCCCATAGCATGGTGTTCCAATGAATCCATCAACGGTGTGCTTGCATGCCTTTAGGCCTGACTGTGGTTGTGGTAATGTATCAGCGCTCGTGATACATGTGTACTCGCTTACCACTCCACTCCACTATGCCTCTCTAATTTCTCCAGCAATGCTGCGGTGATGTGTGTGTGTGTGTGTGTGTGTGTGTGTGTGTGTGTGTGTGTGTGTGTGTGTGTGCGTCTGCGTGTGTGTGTCTGCGTGTGTGCGTGTGTATAGGTGTCTCTATGGCTTGTACTATACAAGGCTCATTGCCAGCGTATTCTGGATGCAGCAATAGCCGAGAACTTCACGGAGGTAGAAAACTACATTGTGAACTTCTGGGGAGGTCTACCGGAGAATCTTCGCTCTCTGCTGACACACAAGTTACTTGCTGATCTGATCGGCGTATGTGACTTTGCTCTCTACAAGGTGAGTTGATGTCTGTGCTCACCTAGGGTGATAGCACGGACACATAAACAACTCCGCGGCTGGTCTGGTCCATGGCTGAATATTTTGTTGACGTCCCCTTTTTCAGAACGCATGACGCATTTGTCGTGCAAAAGCACTCGCAAAGCATGCACTGGGTGCCAACGTTTATCACAAGTTTGTGTATTTGCTGCTTTTTAACCCTTTGCCGGTCTAACTCAATGTATGTGAGGGGTGGTCACGCAAATACATGTACACACAACCAGCAATAACTCAAGAACCATGTGATGTAGGTATGGGTAAACCATATATTTTCAAAATCTGTGTGCCTGAACGCGTCCAGAAAATTCAAAAATGACTAGGTCCAGGCAAGGATAGGGCCCATGGTAGCCCTTCAAGTTGAGAGAAAATACAATTGCGAATGAAATACACGAATATCACAGCACGAAGGGCATACCAAGTTCGTGATGGAGCTGAAGTCGTACGATAAACAATCAGGTAAGGGCTACGTCTTTACAAGAAATGTAGGCTCTCTACAATACCGCCATTGAATACCAACACCTCGCCATCGGCGATACGCCAGCAGCAGCAATTCCCATTGCACGATATCGCAGTTTCGGTTTGTTCATCTCAGCGCTGCTCGCGTCAGATTCACTCTCGCTCAGATGAGTACTCAGGCGCGAGCTTACGCATGCCGTGATTCTCACGGCCAGGCGAATCAGCTGATCGCACCTGACGAGTCCTTGTGACAGTCGCTGTCGCCGTGTCGGCAGCAAGAAGGCTTCCTCTCTGTTTGGAGAATTTTGTTTCTTCATTCGTGGACGATATATTTTTGAACTAGCAGAACTCAACGGAGCTCTTTTTCTCAACACACTACACTGCAAAACCTCCCGGGACATCCAGCCTGGACTGGTGATGTTACTGCTCTCAGAGCGCTTGTCAAACACGGCCCCAAGAGATGCACTCGCATTCTTGAAATGCGCGCATGGCGGATGGTCGTCTTTTCAAATTTCAACAAACTTCAGTCGATCGATAAGGCAAAAATTTGTATGGTATGCATGGTTGTTTTGCACATCGTCAGAAAGCCTTGGACCTCAGCTACGCGTAGAGCGCCATTTTAGCTGTCTCCTAGCAACAAGACCCCAAAAAAATGAGGGCCAAACGTACCGATACTATAGTATCGCTACGCTTATGGTAGACCGGTAAAGGGTTAAATGAAAAATCGATTTCTCACGCTGCTGGGGCTTTTTATGGTACACGTTGTGCAAGTTGAGTGAAACCAGGCCAAGTTCACGCAGGCACAGACTTGTAGTGCATGCCTCGTACGGTATGATTCGTGATCTCCGGAAAGTCTGACTTCATCAGAAATATTGCGCCGTGAATCAAACCAAGCTGAGTTGCACACTCTTGTTCATGTACTCTTGGGGATAGGGATGACCGAAAGAACAAGACTTTTCTAAATACTGGTATCTGTGCATGGCAGTCCATGTGCTCCGGTTGGAGTGGAACTTGGCTTCCTAACTGCTATGTACAAGCCATGCAGCGTTTACTAAGATCTCCAATCTCTAGTCCCGCGCCTGGTCAGGGTGATCCATCCCGTCAGCCAGAGTGATATGCACGGCCATATTCGTATCAGCCCATGAAATACTGACAGGGCTTTGCACGACCATAGCAGCCCAAGAAAGCAACATACCTTGCTAGGACTCTCTTTTTTCACCACTTGAGTCACCACCTGCCATGCTTATGGTGCGCTCACTTGGTTACTGTGTGCCCATGTGCTCTTTTGTATGCAGGCTATTCTCGCTGCAGTGGTGCCCGATCCTTTGCGAACGCTGTCTTTGAGGTAGGCTGAACCTATTGCAGTCATCCTGGGTGTGGCACTAATTTGAGTGCTAAAAAATGTCTCTCCATTCCCCAGCCTTTGTGCAGCCTGACTGAAATTCGAATGGTATCCCAGCGTGTTACCATTTTCAATGTTTTTAAAATGTTATAATGTTCAATGTTCGCCTCCCAAATGATATTCATTAGTGCAATAAAACTGAAGCTGCGCTTGGAATTGCACGCTGTCCTGATGTTTTCGCTGGCTCACTTGTTTCTGCAGCATGACGCAGGCGCTAAAGAACTTCTCGGTGATGTTCAAGTCGTGGATACTTGCAGCCATGCAGCACTTTCCCGAGCCAGTTTTAAAGTGCAAGGTGGAAGGTAAACTTCTGTAACCATCTCTAAGTAGACTTGTTTGACCGGGAAGACACCACCCTCCTCTTTTCGTTACCCAAAGTAGCACCATACACCATACACCATACATGTACGGGTCTACATGTTTGACGATGACAGCATGTGTGTGTGTGTGTGTGTGTGTGTGTGTGTGTGTGTGTGTGTGTGTGTGTGTGTGTGTGTGTGTGTGTGTGTGTGTGTGTGTGTGGCCACACTTCACTGGCCAGAAACACCCACTTCATAGCTGTGTGGTGTAGACCAGGCTGAATAGTGGCGGTCAATTCTTCAGCCTTGCAAGTTGTTCAATGGTGCAATCCCAGCACAAGCTGCTATGGCTTCTGCTGTAGCATCGCTATCATCGCCTTCGGCGATGGGCGTCCAATGGTGTGTGTGTGTGTGTGTGTGTGTGTGTGTGTGTGTGTGTGTGTGTGTGTGTGTGTGCGTGCGTGTGTGTAACTATCAAGCAAGGCTTGCATATACCATGCACAGGTCTGCACAATATGCCTGCATCCCTAACCTCAATCCTAATTTCACGATATAGAATCGCTGTATGCCTGTGTCATGAACTTTCGGAGATCATCTGTTAATGCTAGTGACACAATGGGCTATCCCGGGCTTCGCCTACATGCTGGAAACTGAGATTAGATTCCGTGGACTCGCTGGCTAGTGGGAAGCACTTCCCTATGCCTTCCGACAGGTGTTGCCAATAAATCTGCATTGCGAGTCTTTCTTACTTGCCGTCACACACTACGCTAAGATACGATGCTAGTATTTGTGTGCCCTTTGTTGTCTCTCAGTTGCCAAGGTGTTCTTATCAGCGTTGAGGAGGAGAATGTCTGTATCGCATCTGGCACAGGTATACTTCAGTCTTATTTACCCACTGTGCATGTAGTTCTGTGTCTTCACAACCATTATCCAAACTGGTACCGCGGTGCAGCTCTGGAGGCACATACATGTGGCTGCGTTAACACGACAGCGCTGGGGGTGAAAACGCAACCAAATCCTTTCGGATGCATGGTTCATTTACACGATGGGCGGAGCAAAACGAAAGAACACAAAAACGCTGGTCAAAGTTGAAGAATTTGAAAACGGAAATGTTCTGCCGGATAAATGTGGGTGTGTGAACAGTCGAAACGGTGTGCTGGGCCTCATTTCTGTCACATTTGTTTCATTTTCACACGGATCCGACAGTCCAATTTTCTTTTTACAGTGTTCGTCATGTGAGGAGTGTTGTCTTGTGGCCTGCTTTCAACTGTTCTTTGAGTGTGATCGGTGCTTCCAAGACAACACTTGGCACATGACGAACTTTGGCGGATCCTCTGTTCCCGTGTAGACGCGCGAAAACGTTACAAACGGAGACCACCTCGGATCAGCTTTGATCGTGTAAACGCGCGAAAACGCAACAAGAAATGCGGGACTGGAAACGGAAAACTGGCCGTGCGTTATCATGCAGACTAGATTCTGAGATGCCTCACCTCACGCAGTACCTACGCAGCATTGGCATTCAAGTGAGCATGATTTCGAGTAAACAGGGTGTTCTGATTTTTGGTTCTGCTGATTATAGAAAAGCCATTGGGCAGTCTTGAAGACTAGTACAGTCCTGCTCCATGAAATCCAGTCGCGTCGCTCAAGTTTGCACCTTGCATCATTTCGCAGGCCTAGGGCTGCGCTACGCCCGGCGCTTATTTGAGTGACGCGACTGGATTTCATTGAGCAGTACTGTAGTAAACGTTACTAAACTATGGATAGCAGTTGCCGCCACTGACTTCACTGTCTTGACCGTGTTCCCTGATCTCCACCGTGTGCTCTGCTTGACATTGCATTTGCTAGGCCATCAGCTCAATTCTGCAGAGTTCGGACAGCGTGTGTCAGATGCTAGTCGACTGGCAGCAGCTGCACAAGTCCAGCATCGTCTACCAGTCCCTGGCATGCTGTAGCAGCAAGGATGAGCTGGACAAACACATTCCGCTTTACTTGAGCTGTGAGTTTTTGCTGTGAGAGTGGTTTGTGTGTGTGTGTGTGTGGGGGGGGGGGGGGGGAGGGGCACTATGTATCATGTATACCCAGATGTGGAGTTTTAAGAGAGGCACAGTTCCATTTTATCAGCCAGGCTTATCTCCATAGCAATAGCATTCAAAGACCTTCATGTGTCCTTTATTACGTATGTGTATGCACTATGCCACTGTACTGTGTTCTCTATGCTCCAGTTATGGCAGAGTTTGAGGACCTTCTGGTTCAGCAGGCAGATGTTCATAGCTTCGCGTTTTGGCTGTCATCGGTGGTGCAGCGAATACTGGAAAAGGTAAGCTATTTCCACAAGAACACAGGGCCAATGACACAGGGCCAATGACACAGGGCCAATGACACAGGGCCAAGGAGACCAGTTTATATTAGTATACCATGCGTGGGTATACTGCAAGTGCAGTATTAGTAGCACAATTACTATGGTGCATAAATACATAATCCTACACAGTTGCGAGGGCATGATGCTCTGATCAGGCCCGAGGTCTGTGAGTGATCTTGCCCGAGGTCGTGACGCCCAAGGGGCGTAGCCCCGACGGCGTCGCGACCGAGGGCAAGATCACTCACATGACCGAGGGCCTGATCAGAGCGGCATGCCCGACGCAACTGTGTAGGATTGCGCTTCAGACAAGGCCCACCTCACAAACAACAAGGCCCAGTACGGTAGAGAGATTCAAACAGAAAGAAAGCCTTGGCGGCAAATGAGTTGATGTCACATTGTGTGCAGTGACCATAACAAACAGCTATTTGTTTGGTCGGAACTTTCCAGTTTTGAGATGAAAGTATTCAAGTACAGTGAAGGCAGTAGTAACATTAGTACCAGTAATATGACGGATTCGGAATAAACCCTTTCTTCGAGTTAGATGATTGCCAGAGTAAGGTTCAAATGCGAGTGCTGAGAAGCTGCAGCCTTAGGGCAGGTACAAAATGTACTTGTGGAGGTCTGCTTCCCTTGTGTACGTTTCGCCGCGAGAAACAGGACCAGCTGCAAGGTCGGTTGGCGTTTCTGGTCTCCCTGCAGACGTTCAAGACAGTAGTGAGTATAATTATAGTAATTTTGGAGAAGGGAGACAAATTTTTAGTCCTCGTCGGAGATGTTGCCCAAGGCAAGGACTTCGAAAAATGGTAAATGCGCATGTGCGGCGCGATGCTGTACGACTGCTGTTCTTGACCGGCTAAGCGGTCAAGATCGACTGATCTTGACTGCTTATTCTGGCCGCTCATTGGCCGTCTCCTGGCAACAAGCACGTGCCATGTCTGAACAACGCAATCTTACTTCGAAGTACCTTGTTCTGACGCACACTGGACTGGAGCAGGCAAGAAATACACTCAACTGAACGAAATATAATTCGAAGTGAAAGTCTCAAACGACTTTTGTAACGAACGTTTTTGAAAGTGAAATATCTTTTCCCATACATTGACTTTTGCTGCATCCTGTCTGGCTGTGTGTGTGTGTTTTCCAGACAAGCAACGATGTATTGACGAGCAGAGCGAACCTATCAGCTATGACACGGGCATTCATGATGAGATGGCAGTTTCTAACGTCGTGTGTAGTCCGTGACCTAACACTACAGAGTTCAGAGAGTTTTGGTGAGTCCCAGAAACCAAGTACAGTCGTGGCCAAAGAAATCCGAACCATGAGTCAAGAGCAGCAGCAAGGCTCTTGCGGCCCTCGGCTGGGTTCTTGGATCTTGCATGACATCGTTGGCATGGAAACGCGGCGCTTCTTTGGGTCGGATTTCTTTGGCCACTATCCTACTCACTTTCCAGAAGTTTTGGTTTCGTGTTTGATTTTAGCAAGAGTACATAACCCCCCCCCCCCCCCAGAGTGTACAACACCTGATCGAGCTCTGCATAGTGTCTTGGTCGAGCGTAGTCGGATCTTCTGATGTCATGCGTACACTCCACACCGGCGCAAGGCCGATCTCGAGGCAGGGCATCGTTGTTTTTGATCCGAGAGTCCCCGCGACTTCCCGGGTTCCCCTCAGATGTGTACGGTATCATGACGCAAAGATCCGATTACGCTCGACCAAGACCCTATGCAGAGCTGGATCAGGCGTTGCACACTCTGGGGGGTTATGTACTCTTGATTTTAGTTTTCACTGCCTGTATGATCCAGAAGCCACAAGGGTAGATGTTTGCGATGAGTACAGTTGCTCCTGGCACACCGTTATGCACGGTGTATGCTAGCCATTGCCCTTTGGGTAGGGAATGAGTAACTGTTAGACAACATGGTACACTGACATTCTAGATTGTCCTCTGTCTCTATGTGCATGATTGTACAGGTTCACACCATTTGCTGAGCATGCTTCTCGGAGACTACCTCTTCTATCTCCTGGAGAAGAAGCTGTTTGAAGTGCACGAGCAGGAGCTGATGGCCAGTGTGCAGAAACAAGACACTTGCACTGGTGGTGAGTTGCACTTGAAACGCAATAAGGGTGAGAAGTATCGTATTTCCCCGATTATAGGTTCCAATCGATTATAAGTCGCACCTCCCCCCCCCCCTCTTCAGTTTTGAGTCTTCAATAGAGTCACGTAGGTAGGATGCCACACCCGTTCTTTGTCCTCGACGTTAAGTGCAAACAAAGGTGTGACTTACATTCGGGGAAGTACGGTATGCTCTTTTTAGAATCCTGTAGGATACTTCACACAGTTTCATACGTAGGAAAGGGTTGTGAGTAACCAGAGGCTTACACTCAATCACTGCACTTCACAAATTCCTTTCAGGGAAGTATTTTCCACGTTTCACTCACCAAGTAACCGCCATCAGGAATCTGGCATTGGTGGTGAGCCAGTTTTGCTCACAATAACACTTTCCTAAGTTAACTAAGCTAATTATGTTCTTGTTTCACCAAGTCCATACTCCCAACTGTCCTGTCCTGCTCTTAACATTGCCGGAAACAGTCACATGTCCCCGAGGGGCCCAACAGCATGAAGTAGGAAAGTTGAGTGCTACTAGCTGTACACGGTAACTCTGCAGCTCAGTCCCCCCCCCCCCCCATATACACAGATGTATACCTGGTAGTGTCATGGCTTTCTTCACTAATCACTCCATCTTATCTTTCTGTTTGTCTCTGTTTCTTTTGGGCTTGATGTATCAGAGGTCGAAAGCGCACCAGTGGAAACTACGGACGCTAAGATGACAGCATCCTCCCCCGTTAGTACTGACAGCAATGTCATGGTACTGCAAGCCAGCCTGGAATCAGTACTCAGGGATGCGACAGCAAACGGAGATCTATCTTCTCCTGTGGCGAATGCTCTTCCCAATGGCCTGTCGACGGGACTGCTTCTGAACGGTATCAGCGACCTAGCAGACACGAGCAGTATTGAGCCTGTTGCAAAGTTGAGCTGTGGTGCCGCTCACTCGCCTGGTTCAGCCGTTGTTCGCCTTTCCGTGCCACTCAGCGTTGCGGCCCAGCTTCCCGTTACAACGGCAGCTGTTGCCACTAACACTGTGACGTGTGAAAACGTAACCAGCGGCGATACAGCCACCACTCATCTGCTTGAAGTGGCAGGCAGTAAAACTTCTCCAGGCAGTGCAAACGCAATATCGTCACTGCTAGATCCAGCAAGTAAGATGGATCTCGATGGCGTCGCGGCAATTCCGCTCAGCACCACCATGTCTGAAGACGCCGATGCTGCGGCCACTGCTGCAGCTGTCAATGACATATTGTATGAGGCCGGCTTTTCTTTTCCAGAACTGTCCATGGGCTCTTTAGCAGTGGAACCGGAATATTTCTGAACAAACTTTTGTCTATGGTACGTAACTTTTGCCAGGGTAGATAATGTGTTGTCCCCTTGTCCTTCGCCTATTTAATGCCATGCATTTCTAGCAATTAATTTGCCACCTGGGTAGACTTTTCAAATTCTGACTTTTATTGTAATAGCATGGCTCGGAGTGAGTTATGCGCCTGCGCTGATCGGTGACTTGTGGGTGTCTCTGCACTTGCATCAGCTTTGATTGACTATTCAGCTTCCTTTATTTATTATATCTTTTTTCCCTTCTCTTTTTAGGCCACACGTTTTTATTTCTATGTTTCTCGTCACCCGCGCGCATACGATTCAGGAGTCTGGAAGAAAAAAAGAAAAAAACTGTGCTGCACTGACTGTGCATGTGGGGACCAGCACACTCATGCACATGTACATAACGTGGCCTGGCCTGCGCAACACATGATGCAAGGACGGCATGTTTGTGCGCAATCTAGCTGCACATGCACAGATTGTGACAGAAGCTCCTACCACATACTAGTTGCTAACTATGGATGCTATTTTGCATGGTGGTGTACGGTGTATTGGTGGATTTTAGTGTGAACAAAGGTCTAATAAACTTTTTTTATTTTTCGGTCATTTTTTTATTTTTTTCCACCTCTCGCATACGTTTTTAGATTTTCAGGTGACGAGAAACATAGAAATAAAAACGTGTGGCCTTAACAACTCTTTGTAAATGCTGTTGTTTTCAGACCGATGCTTACAGGCCTGCGCCATGAGATCAATATGTGCCCTTGACTTGGTCTGAATTCGGAACTGTATACTTTTTGCTCTTGTCATGCAAGCAGCCGTGGTCACACGGCTGAACATAGTTCAGGCAACTGCAATTGTTATGACTTGACCTCCACGTGAAGCGATTCTTTGTATCAGGCTGCCAAGCTCGAGTGTGTGTGTGTGTGGAGGACGGGCTCTGCCTGGTTGCCAGAAATTCACTGTCCCTCCATCTGTCCAGTCCACTAAATGTGGCTCCCTAGAACTAGGGCAGCACCGCAGACTTTTCAGCTCAACCATGCGGACATTGGGCAGTGGGCTAGACCTGGGAGTCTCAAGTTTAGATACCAGTACGAGTACAGCCATGTATTTCACGACTCGCTGGGGTTGGGCAACGTCAGAATCGTACACAGTAATAGCAGGGAGTACTAAAGATGAAGTTGACAGCATGTTTACCATACAAGGCGGAGGACTTTTTTAGAACTCCCTGGTGTATAGCATACAGGGACATAGCACGAGATCATAGTGCCCCAAACGATGTGCCGGTTTGGCCCCTGATTTGGAAGTAACGTTAATTCTAATGACTGATATCCGCGGTCTATACAGTCAGACCTCGCTTATCCGGTCCTCTCTTATTCGGATCCCTCGCTATCCGGAAGAAAGTCGCTGGTTACCTGGTTACCGATGTGCAGCATGCGTTACACATACAACATAACCGGACCTCGCCATCCGCATACCGCGCCGGTGCATGAATTTGTGTACAAACTGGTTGAAATGTGTACAAAAGGCTTCGTCGTATCCGGTTGCACGTGGCTTGCAGAAGCTAGAATCAGGGAGTTGTGCAAGCAAACGAGGTCCTTGACCTGCTGCATGCATGCAGATATCACTCAGTTGCATGCACTTGTCATTTTTCTGGCTTGTTTTACATACTGTGCACCCTAGCTGTACTGCATAGGACCCGTCTACATGTATGTACGATGCCCCCCCCCCCCCCCCTTTTGATGTGCCACATGTATATACAGTATGTGTGTTCAGTTATCCGGTTCCCTCGCCTATCCGCATATTTTCGTGGAAAACGGATGTGTGCGCTTATGCGAGGTCTGACTGTAGTATGCAACTCCGGCGCTATCCGGGTTTTCGCTTGCTGACCCAAGCACGGCCCGGTCAAGCGGTGTGAGTACTGCCGGTACAACTACTGTATGCAAGCATGTATAAGGCTGCGTTTACATGAGAATTTTCAACCTGGGTCGAGTTCAGCCCGGGTTGAAAGTCTGTACTCGTACGATAGACAATTTTAATAGGTGAGCGTTTACATGAAGACAGTTGACCCGGGTCAAATACTGATATGCCGCCAAAAGTCCACTTCTAGAGTCTTGTATGGTCACGTGAATCCTTTCGCGCGAAATTTGCATGTGCAGTGCTATTCAAACCTGGCGCGAGATATGCACAGAAGTACGATTTGAATCATTTCTCGCCCCGGATTAATTTCAACCCTCCCCTTGGGGGAAATTTCAACCCGGGTCAAGCGCAATGCGTCAAGTAAACGCGCCAGTCAATCTGTGTTCAACGGGCAGCCCCTGCCGGGTCTGCCCGGGGTCGACTCGACCCACATGCACACAGTCGCTCGTGTCGTCTCACAATATCATGGCCTAGATCAGTGACCGTGATGATGTTCTTATCAGCTGTATATAAAATTACAAAATCAAGCTCTTTTCCACCAACATCGGGACACAAGCATTTCACTAACCAGTTCCCGTGCTTTCTCATCAAGTGCAATACAGTCATAATAATTATTATCAAGAGTAGATAAACAAGAGTGTGCAACTCCGGATCTCTCCTGCACAATCTGCAGATACCCCCGCCCACGGCGGAATTTTTGTTGACGTCACCTTTTTTCAGAGAAACGCGCATTTTGCAGCAGAGCAGTGTGAGAGCACGTGCCGGGCACCGACCTTGTAAGTTGTAGTGTAAAGCCCGGCCAAGAGCACGAGGGAAAACTTTCCGAAAGACCCGCAGCGGGTGCGTCGTCGAAAAGATTACGTCAACAAAAAATTCCGCCGTGGGCCTACCCATCCGCGAGTTGCACACTCTTGTTTATCTACTCTTGTTATTATGCATGCAAGCAACTAGAACCCCTGACAATGAAACATAATCATGGATAAATAGCATCACTTTGCTGGGAGTCTGTCTTCGCACTGTATAATATCAGTTCCCCTGGTCTCACCTCCTTTTTTTTTCCTCCTGATGCTTGATTGATCCTTTGATTCTGGCTACTTCAGTACAATGTCATGTACATGTACTTGTATAAATTCACTTGAGTGAGAAAAAACGAAAACTACATGACTGTTCAGTTTCTTGAGCCCCCAATTGGCCCTTGTTGCAAGCTAGCTGTTTCCCGTCGACACACGTACACATGACTCGTCGACTAGCAGTAAAAAGAAAAGTTTGGACCAGTAAATTTTTCATTTACATGTATGTGGTTGAGCGAAAAGAGAATTTCTTTGTGATGCATTTTGTGTAGGTTTTTGTGTACGTAGATCTACGTACTGTCACTATGTGTACGTGTATATACGTAGTCTATGTGGGAATAGTGACAGCTAGGTTTGACAGCAAAAATATTTGAACTTTCAAGCTGAAGCTTGACAGCATACAGCCACAGAGTAGTTTCTTTCAGCTTTTACAGTTTTAGCCTTTGTGTAGGGATCGTCTGTACTGTGAGTGTAGTGTGGGGACGAAGCGTCTTGTTTGTTCCAGCGAGCCTGAACGTAAGCGTTAAAACCAGCTCACTGCTCTGATTATTTATACTCAACAACAAGTTGACTTGGTCGTTCGCACAGGAATATGTCTCTAACTGAAGGTGAGATTCCGTACATGAGGTCAGCCTGTTGCATGTCGCTCGTGTGGTTTTCTTTGGTGGAGGGTTGAACGCGTTGAGTGTGTTATTCGTGGAAGTAAGAACAAAATTGCATGGAATCTCAAGTTTTGAACAAGAGCAGACGTAGTGCTGTAAATAGTAAAATTAATACCCAAGCTCCTTGACCCATCCGCTAGAACACCATAGTCTAGTGATGGCCATAGCTTATTTGTAGCTCTGAAAAGCCCTCCTACGTCTGCATTGTCGTTGTTTAGTGAGTGGGACATTTGCATCCTGTGGACATCTGGCCTTGTGTGACATTGTATTTAGTGCTGGCAAATATTTTTCGCCCCAAATTGAACACAATGGTCAATTTGTCCTCGTTGAGCAAGGAAACGTGTGCGTGCAGCAGTGCAGTGCAGGTCATGTACGAAGTTGTACTAGTACATGATCACGTCACCAAGATACCATCTATTGTACCATTATCATCGAGCATCAGGGTTTTCTTTCCAGTGTGGTTTGACACATGGCGAAGAGAACACTGTAGAAATAGATACGTTTGGTTTGAACCTTTGCTGTGTCGTGTGGGGAATTGTTTTGTTCAGAGCAGCGCTCCTCACTGATCGACGTTTGCTGTGCTGCTAAGGAGAAGGCATATGCACCATATAGCAAGTTCCGTGTCGGCTGTGGGCTGCTTGCAAGTGACGGCCAGGTTTTCAGTGGTAAGCATCTATTGGCGGGATTGCACACAGCCCAACCAACCCATGCTCATTGCTGTCATGACAATACCTGGATGCCACTACCTGACCTGCGTAGATGACGCATAACTCTTCAAAATGAATTCATGTGTGAAAAATGCATTCCTCTCCATTTATTTTGTACCCAAATGGAAGAAAGTGCCTCCCGAAATCGCCCATGCCCCTCCTGAACAGTAGTTTCATATTGAATGTGATTTGTGTTCTTCTCACGTTTAGACTCACTGAGGCAGGATGAAGTTGCTCACATACCTGTATGACTGCTTCTTTTGCTACCACACTGCCATTGCTGCTGCTGCTGCTTCTGTTTGTCTACGTGTTACCAGGATGTAACGTAGAGAACGCATCCTATGGCGGCACGGTGTGTGCGGAACGCGTTGCTATCCTCAAGGCAGTCAGTGAGGGCGTCACAAAGTTCACAGCTATAGCTATCACTTGGTAAGTATGATGTAATCATGCTGCAATGCACTAGAGATAGAACTACAGTGCTGCTCAATGAAATAGAGTCAAGCGAGTCAATGCAATATGAGCGCTGGGCTCTGCATTGCCGCAGTCCGCACGCTTGACTCATGCAATCGGATTTCATTGAACAGCACTGTTCTGGATCCTTTTCTCCTGAAACAAAAAAATGGATGTATACACGATTCCACTGCCCTCAAGCTGCACGTGTTGACATTTCCCACCAGGAAAGTAACCAACCAAGTAACCAGTCATTCCATGGCAACGGTCACGTGACATGGGAGCAGTAGCATTATCCACCAAGACCCGCGATACGTACTGTATCAGTACTGTCGTGAATTCTCTGTTCACGTGCCTTGCAGTGACTCATCCAGACTGCCAGTGCATGTCCTGTTTCCCTTGTGAACCTCAGTTCCTGCGCGAATGTGATTTGGTTACCATAGCAACGCTGGCATTGTTGAAGAATGTATGCAGTGAGATCACAAGAAGTGTGATTGGTTCCGTTTTTCTCCCGAGTGTATGGCTTTAGACACTGTAGTTCATCCCTACCGACATGTACATGTAGGTGTTCAGATTTCCGGTCTGGGTTAGAGTACGTCGCTATTGTCGGTTCAGAAAATGAATAATATCATTTCGTACTTCATATTCCTGCTTTCTGGTACTATGTACTCAGTGTTGTGCACCAGCTTTATGATGTTTGGGAG